TTCATATAGAGCAAACTACTGATTCACAAGTTTTTTAAAAAAAAAGTATCGGCAACTCAAAAAGTGCTGTCCGAATGGGACAATATCAAAATATTTGCTCCTATTTCTTTCATTCAAAAATTTATATACTTTCTACGATTCAAAGATTAAGTCGAAATTGGGTCCAAAAAGTAACGAGAGATATGATAGTAATGATATTTGATATTAGTGGATCTTATTTCATCGTTCATTTTAGTTCAAAGATATTCACGGTAACACATATTTCTCATTTTTCTTCAGTGATGGCCTACTTGTTTATTAAATTCTCTAGAGACCCTAGAGAAATAGCTTGAAAATGAAGGCCAAAAAGAAAACAAAAATGGAATGTTTTGAAATTATATCTCTAGAAAATGCACCAAAATTGAGACCTTAAAAAAAAAAGGAGTGAAAAGACATTACATTAAGTAAAATCAATAATAAAAATTTTTATTTTTAGATAAGCCGAAATTTATGCGAAAATTTATTATGCGTAAATAATTTATTTAAAAACATAGAAAGAATTTTCAGGAACATATCTACATCTGTAGTGAGGCTAAGTTAGCACACCAAGACACTTTTAACGATCAGTTATCATTAAATGTATTCTTTAGAACGTTAACTTACCTAAACGTATAGCTTTTACCATTCATTTGCATATTTTTGATTTATTTCCAGCATTTTTCAGTATTAATAATTTGGAGTAAGCTTCAAAAGATTATGAAAATAAATTGTGAATGAAGGAAATATTGTAGTACTCAATGGGGAAATGATGATAGCATTGAATGTTGCAGATAAACAATTAATTTATGAGGGAAGCTATTAGTCTTCTTCCAGTAAGGAATAAGAATGCTAAGGACAAACAAATAAATATTTTGACAAAACATTTTAAAGCTTTGCCATACTTTAGTTTAGTTCCTATTCCTGAAATTAATTCTTATTCATGGAATGGAAAAGAAATTAATTTGCATAATTGTCTCTGGTCAGTAATAATTTATGAAGATGAGGATTAACAAACTTCTTAATAAGTAAACAGATGAACAAAGAAGAAGAAATAGTTTTCGAGACAAATGAAAGAGTTTTCAAGTCAAAATGAATGCAAAAAGGAAAAAAAAGACTCACCCATATAAATTACAGTTTTGTTTTATTTCATTTTTATGTTTAAGTTATCCTAATAACATCATTAGGAAATGGAATTTAAAATTTTAATTTTTCGGCTGACTTTCAGAAATTGTGAAATTTCTGAGCAGATATAAATGCTGATTGAAGTTCTCTGAAAAGTAGTCATTCTTTTTTCCAAAAGAATTATCCAATAAACACCAAATGATGTGTGACAAGTAGTAAAATGTTATTTGGTGGGAAATACTTCATTTTCTTACCCATTGTCACCGAGAACATTTTTTGAAATTTCAGGTTAAAATTTCTTTTGCCGAGAGTTAGTTATTTTGTTTGTTTTTTTTTTTTTTTCGATTTGTTTTGCCTCTTGCTGAATATACTTTACGGAGTTTTTCCTTGCACTCAAATAATGAGAAGCTTCTACAACTACTTTTTACTTCAACAGTAGCATTCTAGCCTAATGGCTTCTTTCTATTTATCTTGTAATAGTGATTTACTTGATAGTTTGATAATGCAATTTTAAATTACTGTTATAAATTGAAATCAAAACATTTTAGAAATTAACAAACAATTAGTTCCTCTCTTCCAATCGATTTGAAAAACTGACAAAATTTTTGTACTGCATTAATATGTATCTTATAATAGATACATTTAATTGTAACATACAATACTAGTGGCATGAAAATAAAATTAATTAGTGGCATCAGAAAAATAACAATTAGATTTGAATAAGATGAAGTAATTTTAAGCTCAGTAAAAGGATAAATAAATTGCAAAAAATTTCAAAAATTATTAATTGTTCCCTATTATATTCCATGCAAGGTACTGTGGACTTGTCAGTCCTACTAAAGCGCAAAGATGGAGAGCTAAAATGAACAGCGCCATCCATCTCTCTGTCAAAACACAATGAGACACAGTTAGCGCCAAAAGTCATGCAGCGCAGCCATAATGTCCCGAATAGCTTCAGAGACAAAAGGCTTGAGCTAGGCATGAAGCAATCATTAAAGTTCGTTGCAGGTTAGCTGCTAATTACACTTTTAGTAACTTGGCGAATCGATAAATTAATAATAACTTATTTCATCATCGAACCTTGGACCAATTCAACAGTTACGCAATATAGTTAAATTGGGAACTGAAATCAAAATTTATCTCTTTTATAAATTCTTAAATCGTCAAAGTGAAAGTTTTGAACAGAGATGGGACAATACAAAAGGACAGAGTCTGTTGTCGGAGATGATGAATTGCGCTTGAATCAGCATCAGTGTAACAAAAATGTGGCGAATAGAAGAGAGATTAATTCTGGTGATGAAAATTTCTCTCCTAATTTATATTATTAATAAAATTAATTAGGAGATAGCAAGCATACAACAATATTTATTTAATGACAAACATTATCAGTAGGGAATGAGTTTTGTCCAACTTCCTCTTACATTACTTCTTCACCTGATTGAGTTTTCTTTCTCTTCAAGGCTATCATTCCTCAGAGGTATACTTCAGAAAACTCTTGGTCTTCATTCAAGTCATACAATATATTTCAAATTAAAATTGAAAAGTGCTACGAATATTAAGCTATAGTTATTATGGATGTAACGGTTGTGAAAGTAATATTACATTCTCTGAGACAATGAATTTAAATCAGTTAAGGTCAAAATGGATATGTATATAAGAGATAGAAGGACACTAGAGTCAAAATGCAGGTCAATGATGATCAGATGACCGTTCTTATCGTTGTTCAACAGGCAGATGACCGTTACACACAAGTCGGAAATGTAAATAAATGGGGAAAATGGAATATTGTTGGAATGTAAACATAAGAAATTGATGTAAATAAGTGCGAAATCGTTCTCTTTCTGTTTCATTTCTTCAGGACGAGTGAACGAGTTTCTGCAACTAAATATTTTACATTTTCGAGATTTGTAGTATCTTTCACTGCAACCGAAGCTGGTAGGATTTCTTAGTCATTGATTTTTATCAGCATTTTCTAATTTTCTGACTAGTGATATCTTTGGCTTAACAAGGGTCATTTTGTTCCAGAAGTTTTACAAATAAATTACTTTTACGATATTTCCCACTTAGTTTCAAAATATGTTTATGTCCGATTGAGGAGATTACTTTTTTTATATTCAGATTATTATCCATAGAAGGGAGAAGATTTAGCCTTATGAATTAATATTAGATTTAAAGAGCGAAAATTTTGCTGGAAAAGGACAATATTGATAATTGATAATAATAGCATTTTAAACAGCTTAGTCATTATTACATTTGGCGTGTGGCCAAATGTCATCCAAATTGTTAGCTGTCAATAGATGAAATTAGATTAACAACAAAGAAGATTATGTATTTATGTTTGTGATGGACACGTAAACATAAGTCTTTAAGTCATTTATGGTTGAATTAGAATTAAGTGCATGGCTTTCGACTCTCGAAATATTTAATGCACATTGCTTGGTCTATCACTTTGTCAACGTTTATAAAGCAATCTTTTACCGATGCAAAAAAGATTTTTTACTTCTGATCGTTTTTAAAATGTTAGTGATTTACCATCACAATTTTGTTTGTTTTCGGTTAATTTCATCCAGAATTATGAAAAAGTTAAAAAGTGACTAAAAATGAAGTCATCAGTAATCTGCTTATCAAACATGAAATTCACGACTTTGCTTACAATATATATTTCTAGGACGGACTGAATTACATAATTTCGTATCCAAGAGAAATCATTCACGGAAATCGAAACCGATAAAGGAATTTAGTAGCAATTCTTCTGTCTTCTTTTTTCAACGTGAAGTAAAGTTAATGTCTTTTGTTGTGGAATTAATACAGTTCCACGAAGGACGTAGCAAACAAATATCATCCTTAACTTATTAAGACCGGTGAACCTCATAAAACCTTTGCCATGTATTATCACTTATTACCAGGTATTGATTGCTAAATGCAGTCATCAAAAAATGATAAATTTTGAGATTAGCATATTTGTACCAGAAATTTTGTAGACAAAACAGTCAGCATTAAGTAATTGGAAATACTATTCAGAATTCCAGGTATTATTAGATGGCAGGTGAGAGAATCAATCTCTTAGGAGTTTTCTCGATCTGTGATATGCGGTAGAAAAGATTCATCTCCGATCGAAGTTTTCTGTCTTATTCCAAATTCATTTCATATATTCTGTTAAAGACAGAATAGTTAAAGCTTTTAAATTCATCGCACTAATAACTACTGCTTTCATTTCATAGGATTCTAAAACAGTAAATGACGTCATCCACAGCAACTAACTTTACTTCCAAGAAAATTTTTTTTTGACTGAAAAAAACAATTAGGAAGTACAGCTGATGTTCAGAAATCATTAATCCTTTCGTTTCATAAATTTAAGTTAGCGGACCAAATTCAATTAAGTACGAGCCATATGGATGTTTTGTGGTGAGCAAACGATATAGGATTTTAACTTAAATTTATGACTTGCAGTAAAGTAAATGATTTGAACAAGGAAGAAATCGTTGAAAAAGCAACAATCCAAAACATATGAATATTAAGCAACGAATTTAACTTTTTTAAATTTTCAATAAAATGTTAAAATCTTGAAAAGTATTTTTATTGATAAATCTCAAGGTTTGCTTTGCATGGTCTTCTCTTCTGTACCCTTTCCTCTCAGGGATTCTCTCTAAATTTAACTTATATCCAAAAAACCGTAGTCCGATAGTAGTAAAAAGGTTATGCTAAAAATATTAAAGTAAAAAAGGAAGCTTCTAAAAGCTATATCAGAAATGCAATTACACGTATAAATAAATCATTTAATTTTTGAAAAGTTTTTATCATTAAGGCAAATTTATTATCCATGAAATACAGCACTAAAAAAGTATTAAACGTAGAATGGTTCAAAATGTATCAGAGTAATGCAATTTTTCCAACACCACTAACTGCGCATTCAGCTTTATGATAGGCCAATAATATGGGAACCACTGCATCTTTCCGAAATCAATTCCTCTGAAAAAATAACTTTACATAATAAAAGCATAAAAAATTAATCCCAAAGTTCTAGAAACGTCGCTGCAAATTACTAATATAGCCAGGGCAAACATGAAAACTTCAACCATATAAAAATGAAATAAAACGTGAAGTAATAAATTTACTTTCAAAACTTCAAAAATTTGACAGTCTTGGAACTAATATATGTGACATGGCAGAAAAAAGTTACTGGAATGCTTCAATATCATATAAAACACGATGAGTGGGAAAGAATTTTCGTGCGGCAAAGTTGACGATATCAGGTTCCGTGTAGGAACCAATCAACAGATAATCGAATCGTGCAAGTTGAGATGGTTCCAAATTTTCGGTTTTATTATACCTGTATATTCGTTAAAATATTTTATAATGCTAGGGAGTAAATGTGTTCCAATCAGCTTACTCTCTTATTATTCAAATCCTGACTTCAAGATTTTACAAAAGCACATGAATCTTAATATAATTAATATTATTTGAAACACAACCGTGTCAGAGGAAGAGAGTTATTTCATAATTATTTTTTAAATTACTTACTCCCAAGCATCATACCACTGCAAGAATCTACTGACACCAGTCTGAGCAGCATAATTGTCGATATAGACGGAAAGTGGTTTATTTCGACTGAAATGTCGCAAATACTGAAAGAAAAACAAAAAAAAATTTTATAAAAACAATGTACTCATACTATGAAATTTTTCAATAATTTGTAAATTTCACAATCCCAAGCTTTCGCGCAGAATTACGGTCATTTCAACCTGTATTATTTTTAGGTAGCAGCAATCGATCGTCATTCTTTTAAGAAAAAATGAACTAATTTTTTGAGGCGATGGAAATAAGGATAAAAAAAGAAAACTATGGTTTACGAAAAAAGTACCTGGAGAGAAGTGAGTGCTTCACCACCAGGATAATTTCTAGAACTAGCAAGTAAGAAGATGGAAGTGCCGATAACATTTACGATTAAATGTAGCACTACTCCAACGGCCAATAACATACCAAACATTGATTTCCAACGATTGATCCAAATAAAAAACAAAATACATATCCATAACACAATTTGTATAAAACCAGAATCGACTAACGAAATCTTCCATATTTTAATATTTATCATAAAAACAGATATTTTTTCAAAATGAACCTTAAATTTCTATTTATTTTGAAATAATTGGAAACTTTTTTCCACTGCTTTTTCACAACAATTTTCATTTTTAAATCATGAAAAGATAACGGAAAAAAATTTCTGTGATTCAAGAATTAACTTACATTCTTGCACAGAACACTGCTGAGGAAACATTAAAAAGCGGGAATGTGTAAATGATAAATCGAAGTTCTTTATGAGGGAGGAACGAATAGAAGAAGATGTAGCATATAACAGGAAATACAATTGACAGTAAACGATGATCTGAAAACAAGACAACCGAGTGTTCTGATAGTGAATTCATATGTGTTAAATACTGGATGTATATATAATTAACAAGATTAATGAGGAATTTTGAATAATGAGTTTTGACATTGCTGAATGTTCTAAGAGTTCAGAAACCTACCTAGTTTATGATTCAATTATATAACCGATTATATATATATATATATAATTATATATAATTATCAAAATAAGAAAGAATGCAAAAGATTTTAATTACCTACCAATTAATGCACCTAAAGGTATAAGAAGAGTTGAGGCTATCATTGCACGTGGAATCGCAGAATAAAAATACCAGAAATAAGGTTGAATCTGCAAAGAACAAAAGACTACTGAATTTGTGGTAAAAAGTAATAATTTTTTAAAATGAAATTAACTTCTCAATTTTTGAAGTACTTCGAGTCTAAAAAAATATAAGTACGACTTTCGGTCCTTTATTTATTTTAAATTCCAATAACTCTTCTTCACTTTTGGATTTATAAAAAAAAATAAAATCAGAACTTATAAAAGAAGTAAGACCAAAACTTACACCATATTCGTGACTTCTATTCAATATCACATTGAACCACAACACTTCGCCTTCAGGCCATAGCCATCGTCGCCACAAGAAAGAATCCAGTGGTACAGATATGCCTAAATAATTTGTATCCTGCTAAACATTTTGCATGGTTAACCAAAAACTTGAGCGACCTTATTCTATTTAACCAAATTATAATATTTCAAAAGTTGATAAAAAATTGAGGACATTTAAGTGAATAAATCTAATATATATGTACAAACAAAATGAATGGCTGACCCAGAGTAAGCATAGCAGTCGACAAGCAATGAACAACAGCACCATTCCAACCGAACAGGGACAGTTGGCGTGTTAAAACAGGCCATATGAAAACACAGCCATAAAACAAAATCAGTTCACATCGAAATAGTAATGTAAAAACCGTAGCAATTCGTGCTGCACATAACCACTGTCCATCCAAAATTTTCTGGTAGGTCCAAAGTACTGCAGTTTGTAAATGACAAAAACGAAAATAAAACAGAGAAAGGACAGCGATGAAGCAATTTTGATAATTTTTAATTAGACTTAAACATTCTAATTAAGCATGCAAGTCGAATGGGAGTCACAGTGGAAAAAACTCTAACCTCCAAGTAAGGCAAATGTATTTGGAAGAGGCCTGGAACAGTAGAACATGAAATGGAACTGTGTTGCTACAATTAATCTGAAAATTTTTCTCCAATTGAAGAAAGATTGAAGCTTGAGAAATAAGCATTACGATTCCAGAACTTCATTCTTCAAAGCTGTTTCTCGTGTTATACATCCTCTGCGAATAAAAAAACTGAACTCTGAGATGAACTGGCACTCAAAACTATGTTACATGAAACCATATCCATATTATCGATAACAATCTTATTAAATGTTGAAATCGATTATCAAAAACTATCAAAAATTGAAATCTAAATCGCAATGTACCTTAGAAAATCGCCTGACAATTTGCCAAAGTTTTTGTCAATCTGTCGAGCAAAATGACCAAATGCGAATAGAACTGCTAGACCAAGCACAAGCCTCACTACAATGTGCTCTTTTTGAAAAAAAAAGTCACAAAACATCAAGTAATAGTATGATGTCAATTCAAATGAATAGCAAATTGTAATAAATCGAAATATAGATATCAGTTTGAAACGAACTGCCATACAAAATCCAGTGTTTTGCAATATAATTCCATTTGATTATAGGAAAAAGTGGAACACTAACTGCCACGGCGCCCATAAAAGTACGTGGCACAACTCCGGGAAATTCATGATGATCATACTGGAAAACAAAATCCAGGAATTCAGATAAAAAAATCTAATGGATGAATTAGATCTCTCAAAATAACCACAAATTTCATGCTAACGAGATTTTTAGAGCAGCTCAGAATTTAAATTTCTTCAAATCCCACATAAATTTATAGACTAAGCATTATCTTATTTGAATATTCCTTAAAGAAATATAAAATTATTTCTGCCGCAAAAAAGCATTAATCCACAATTCATCTCAAGTCTGTTAAAGAATACGTGCATTGCTTAATATCGCGAGAATTGCAACTAATTTTATTATCAAGACCTTTCAGTGTGACAAGCAAACTGTTTGATCTTTGTTGTAAACCCAATCTACTTGCCACGTCGAAATACTTAAATCTTCCAGTGTGACACTCACTCTTCTTATAAAGTAATTCCTCTTTACTCACTGTAATTACGTGTTTTGCTGTAAGCCAGTGGTCACAGCAAACACTCACTCACTCAGTTCACTTCAGCAGACGGTGTGCGACAGCGGTGGCAGAGTGACAGTACGATGACACTTACGAACTGACTGACTGACTGACCGACTGTTGGCACTGTTCGGATCGTAAAGAACAGTGAAGCTATTGTTCAATTGGTGACAACAACAAGGACATCCATTATGAACATTTCCCAACAATAACTGAGAATTTCCTTATCTTGAAGTGATCCATATAAGACTTAAAATAGAAAATAGAACAGCCTAACAACGACTAACAATGGCTATAAACCATAGGCTTCACACAAATTATAAGGACAGAGACATTCTGCTTAAAAAAGTCACGAAATTTTACCTTGGTAAAGTTCAGCTGGTGGTATAAGATGTCATGAATAGCTTGTACATTGAAACTTTCTTCAACTTTTGTATAGGGTGCCATTATTATATGCAATACACATACTCCTATCAGAAACCATTCTGAGAGTCGTTTCCTTTTACCCATTGCTCGTAATTGAAGATCAAATTCTTAAAAAAACTTTCAAACCAAAAACATACTAATTTAAACGCAAAAACTGGAATTCAAGCAAATTAAGTAATACACACCGGGAAACAATGCAGTTTAATGATTAACATAAGGAAAAAAATTATTTGTTACAAATGCTTCATTAGCTTCAAACTAAATAGCATAAATAAACAGAATTAAGGAAAAAGGATAACAATATCGAAGTGTTCTATCTTAAATCGCGTTCAAAGATTTGTAGGGCATAGAATAAATGACTTTTTTCAAATTTCATAAAATTTAACTGAGTGACCAGATAAGTACAGCTGAAGAGATTTAAAAAAATGAACGGCATAAAAGTTCATTAGCCTAAAACCATAACAATTTGCAAAAAAAAATAGGAAGGAAAGACATTACAGAAAAGGAAGAAAAGAAGAATAACCCAGCCCAAAATTTAGATTTAAATTATGCATGTAGAAGATTAGTAAAATAAATTTAAAAGAGCCGAAAGTGAACAAGAATGACCTCAGAAATCCGCAACTTATCGGTTTAGCAAAGAAGGATTAGTAACCCAATACATCCTTACTTTTGTATAAAGTACATATTTTATACAATAACAATCAAAATGTTTCTAATCTTTTGATTAAAGCTCCTAATTTTGAGATTTCTTCGATCATACCATTCACCACTGCATTTGCCTGAAAATGAATGAATAAAATTATTATAGTAAGAAAATCGTAGGATGAGAAAGATCATCGGTTGTGAGTAGACTAATAGCAAATGAAACTCACAAAAGACATGCACAGATGTTCAACGGTATATTAAATTTAAAAAATCATGTACGTCTTAAATGTCTAAATATGACGTATATTGCTTGTTTTTATCAATTACCTGAAAAATTTTTCGCCGATGTCTTTCCACTAGATCATCTCTGGTTGCACTTCTAGCTAATTTTTCATGTTTGTCAATTCGATGTAAAAATTGTCCTTTCCTTTTTTCTGCTTTCTGCAATCGTTTCAACAATTCTTTTTTGACTAAAGAACCATAATCGCCCTGCAAAATAATGCTGAAAAACTTGATGCAGTTTTCTTATAATAGCTTCTTTCAATTAAAGAGTAAGATTAAAAAGAAGTATCAGAAGTATCAGTTTCTTATTTCGTATTTAAGAGTCATATTTCACGCACCACAATAGTAACATGGACTTCGGCTGAATATCCGTGTACAGGAAAAGGCAAACTGCAATTACTGTTTTGTTCTGTAACTGCCAAAGAGAATTCGACGTTACAAAGTTCTTGAATAATGGAATGGAAATTCTTCAGATCACAGTTTCCTCCGTAGCAAGCAACTAGAAATGGGTAAAATACGAAAGCTCACATATATGAGAAAGCAAACATTAATGGAGACTTCCAAATGACCGAAAAACACAAAGAAATATGAAACAAAACATGGTTATTTAGAAAACAATACCTTGCAAGGTATTTTTTGCAGGAATCTGAAACTGTGCCCGGATAGACCTTATAGCTTTAATTACCTCCAGCACAAACGACATATCATCCTCGAGTTTTTTATCAATCAAATAAGACTTGAAATCCTAAAAATCGAAATTTTCTATCACTAGAAGCCAAAAATTATTAAACATTATTAAAACTGTTTGGAAGAATTGAAAAAAAAATAGAAAACAAACAAAACCAATAAAAGTACCATCTTTGGATTAAATACAAAAGTATTGCTTTCTTTTTCTCGTTTGATGCGGTCAAAAAGATACTGGCTCACAAAAGGCATGAAAATTGAGAGATGAAACAGCGATTTTTCAATAACATCATGCAAAACTTCAGCAACTACACTTAATCTTGAGTAGTCTTTTAGCCACAATGCTTTCTTTGTTGTCTCCTAAATAATACTACTTATAAAAAGATCTACTGCTTGATTCAGTTAAAGCTGACTTTTTCAAAGGCGGAAGAAGCAATTAGAAGTTTGAAAAAATCAAATAAAAATGTAGAAAATATTTTGTAGAATTCTTTGAACTCAAATTTAGCATAAATCTAATTTGAGGAAACTGACGATATAAACATCACATAAATCATTGTAGAGAAATCTGTGTAGTGCACTCAGTGCTAAATGGGGACAATCCGAATCCATTTTTTCTGACATCATCATTAAAGAACTTCCCAAACGGCTTCTTATCCAGCAATCCTAAAAAGAATATTTCGGAAATGGTATGAGCCTTGTAATCACTGATCGATGAGGATTTTTACTGCAGTTAATTTGACTTAATGAGGATCATTTTACTACGGGTCTAAAAATATTTGAGAGAATATATTAAGTTCTGTGCTTTTCCACTTGTTTGCATAGGAGAGAATTTTCATAGAATGAAAATCAAGTAATAGGTGACTAACTTCAAGACGATCGCTGCAAACTTGGTCAGAAACTTCACAACAGTTTCGCCATATCTCTTCAGCATAAAGGCAAAGATTCCACAGCTTATTGCAAAATCTGAATTTTTTAAAATATTTCAGTGCAATTCCTGATTCACGAAATATCAAATCTGTAACAAATATTAAATATGTGATAAAATGAACTTGATTTCTCACTTTAAACCTTCTTCAGCTGTCTGTAAAATGTCGATATTGATATCTACAGCCCCAACATCATGACGGAGTAAAGCGAAACGCAAAGCATCCGGACCACATCGAGGAATTCCTCCAGAGAATCGAGATTTCAGCGAATTTGCTGCCATTTCTAGAATTTTTAAAATTGTCCCGATATCAGAATGTAAACTTAATTTTTAATACTCTGATCATAGTAGAACTAATAACTGTAACACCAAAGCACGAATACCAAGTTATTTCATAGCCTCATAAAGTGAGCTCACTTTTTTCCTCCTCTGTAAGAGTACTTTTGTCAAGACGTCCCAGTATTTTCTGAACAGAAATACCATCAACAATATCCATTGGGTCGACTACATTTCCTAACGATTTACTCATTTTTCGTCCATTTTCATCACGTACTAAGCCATGTAACACAACTTTTGGAAAGGGCAAATAACCAGTTAAACTGAAAATTCATTTCGACAACCGCAAAACACAAGTGAAAGCATAGACATCATTTGTTCGTATCGCTAGTAAGATTCATAGAACAAAAGTGAAAAAGAAATGCTTTCATGCGAATTTTTATAAAAAAGAAAACCTATGACAAACTGTAACCATTCGCGCCACCCAAAATCCAACAATGTCATATCCAGTTTCCAACACAGATAATGGCATGCGATCAATTCGTTTTTTTGGCCAACCTGTAAATGAATAGTGCCTCTTTTTCTCTAAAATTTTTGCTTTAGTAACTATGCGATATGCAAGGGAATTTGTAGCTAAATATTTACCAAACAAAATGATTGGGATAAGTGACGAACAAAACCATGTGTCCAAGACATCTCTGTCCTGCTCCAAATTCATTCTGGTATTTGTTCTACCACTTACACGTAACGCTTCAGACTCATTTGGGGCCACAATCCAATCGCTAAATAAATAATTTGCTTGGAAGACTTATGAAAATGTTAGCGTTTTGCACAACAACCTGATATATATTTTAAGTTCAAATCAAACCTATCGGAATTGGGACGAAATGCTGGGATACGCTGTCCCCAATCAAGCTGTCTACTCAGGCACCAGGGCTCTTTTTTATTCAACCAATTTTCCAGATGTGTCTGCATATATCTCGGGGTTACAGTAAGCTGCAAGAAAGAAAAATTAAGAATTGGCTAAGAAAAAAGAAACTTAAAATTAAAACTTTAAGACTTATTAAGTATTAAAATTCAGTTTTTAAAACTGTACAATTAAATTGTGAATAAATGACATACCAAACCCCGCTCAATAGCTTTAAGAGCCATGTCATTCATACTGGTGCAATCCATAAACCACTGCTTCTTAGCCATTGGTTCGATAATATCACCAGTTCGACTACATATCTTCAGTTGTTGGTCATGATAGGGCAACGTTCCACCATATTTATTACATTCTATCAATTTTGATAATATCTAAATTTGAAGTTCAATATTAGTCATCTTTTTCTAAGGTTTGCAGGAGTCCCATGAAAAACAGAATTACTTTATTCCTAGCTTCAAATCGATCTATTCCATTCAAATCGGCTGCATTTATGAGACAACCAGATTCATCGATACAAAATCGACTGCAGTCTTCATCCGATAGCTGATCTGCATGATTTCTAGCGATAGCAAAGTCAGTAAAATCATGTGCCGGTGTTATTTTTAAAACTCCTAGAAAAAACGGAAATGAACTCGACAAACATGGCAAAATCAGTCAACGAAAATCTTGAAATAACCACAACATATCTAACAAATTCATAAATTTAAACAAGATAACAAGAACAGCGGTTTTTTCATAGTAATTGTTTTGCCTTTAAAAACAAAGAAAAAAAGCGATTTCCTATAAAATATATCTCAAAATTACTAACCTGTACCCTTATCAGCTTGCACTAATGAGTCGGCTAAAACAGGTAAGGTACGATCTGGAAGCAAAGGATGTCGAACGCGCAAGCCAATATACTTCGCATAACGTTCATCACTCGGATTAACAGCTAATGCGCAGTCAGCAAACAATGTTTCTGGTCTTGTTGTTGCTACTTCTAAATAATTACTGCCGGATAAGCTGAAAAGGCTGACATAGTAATTGGCCGATATAGCTATAAAGTTTCACAATTTCGTTCCATAAAATTCTTCTAAAAAACAATAATTATAGGAATAAAACAATAATTCGTCGAAATATAAAATGAAATAAGACCTGTTTCCACCCAAAAATTCATAACGAATTCGATGCATAACACCTACTTCAACATACTTCCCTTTTAAACCAGATTTATTCAGCAGGAAATAATCATTTTTCCCGACATTTACAATATCAACCTCCTAAAAATTTTACTGAATTATATTTATTTATACATACGCTTTATGTATAATACAGCACCACTTGTCTTATCTTCATATAAGAACATTCTTTAATTGTCATTTTTTCCGACATTTATAACGTCAACCTACTCTAGTTGCAGATCAGATGCGAAATGACACAGAAATATACCTGCTCAGAAATAGTACTCCTTAAAGTCGGACACCAGTTGACCATTCGCATATCATTAAATATTAAACCATTATTGTATAATTGACAAAATGCAATCGTAACTGCTTCAGAGAATCTCTATAAGGGAGAAAGTATAAGAAAATAGCTTAAAAAAATAATCAAAAGTTATAAATCAAATTTGCATGTGACTTTTTCCGACTGTAATTATTTAGAAGTAGGAATAACAAAGACCAAAAACATTGTTACTGATTGCATGATGCTTTCATCATGCAATCAGTAACATGTAAAGTATATTGGTTTATATGTTCGGCTTCCTTTGCTTCAAAATCACACTTTACCTATTAGTCGACTCAGCAGTGCAAGCTAATAAGCATACAAGTTGAGATTTATCATGTAGTAAAATGAATAGTTTACAGTGAGAGTTACTAAGAGAAAGTCGCTCTTCTTCTTGTAATTTGGTCTAGATTTATAAAAAAAAAAATTACAAGAAGAAAAAAAATATGTCACTCATATTTTGGTCGCTTCAAAATTTCTATTAAATAGATTTTGTTGTGATTGTCGAGTTTGTTTCGTTTTTTTTTTTTTTTTTTTAGGATTTCAAAAATAACATCAGAATATGACTTTAATGACTTTGCTATTGATAGAAATCAAATTCAAATTACTCCAGTGAATCTTTTACTAAATAATCTAATAATCATTTAATGCTATAATGTAAATTTGCAGTTAATGTTGCTGAACAAACATTTCTTGTTTTCTCCAATATCTACCTAAAATCAACCAAATAAAACAGCAGTGGTGTAATCCAAGCAATATAAAAAATTTTACTGAATCAAATGAAAGACAAAAAACTCACCTACATCGTCTAATGTGTAGTACGTATTATGCCAATCAAGTGTTGCACCAAGAGCTTTCAATTGCTTTGAAATATCAACCACACGCCTAAAACATGAAATAATGGTCAAATTCAATCCAGAATATAAGTTTTGGTAGGCAAACTTCAGTTCATGAAGAAAATAAACACTTTAACTTACAGATCTATATCAATAAAACAATCGTTGGAAAATTTTACTCATTCTTCCATTGTCGACATAATTCCAGGAAATCATGTTGTGTGATCTGATACCTTCGCATTTTTTTTTCATTCCATAGCACTCGTTCAACAACTACTTGTGTAGCGATCCCCGCATGATCAAACCCAGGATACCATATTACCTGAAAATTATAAGGTGAACGGAATCTGCAAAACCGAATTAACAGATGTTCATTTCAAATGAACACGATCTAATTAATTCGCATGATATATTACATACTTGCTGTCCCTGAAGACGTCGATATCGGCACATGGCATCTTCCACAGTTACAGTCAAGGCGTGGCCCAGATGAAGATTCCCAGTAACATTTGGAGGCGGCAGAATCATCCTCAAATTACATTTTAAAAACCTCTCATACTAACTTAGATTTGATGAAATCAATATTATGCAATACAAATGGAACAACGCATTAATCTTACCGATAAACTTCGGAATCTGATTCTCTTGCTCGTGTTAATTGCATACATTCCATCCATTTTTCATGGTTCTTTATTACAGCATCTATGTCGAAGGAAGAACCCCTGATATATTAAACTTCTGTCATTTCTTCAGTTTTTTGAAAAAAATTCTAAAATGATCATTTCGTGCCAAATCAAAAACATAGGAACTGAGAACCAGCAATAGAGATACTGATATAATCGAGTTCATTCATACAGTAAAATATGTTGATCTAATAACAGCAAATACGATCTGAATAAGAATGGCTTAATAACCTCTTGCTGCTCTGAATTGAAGCACGTTTACTAGAGCAATATGGAGACTTTCTCAAATATGAACAAATATTTCGTGGATAAATCATCGCCACATCTGATAAAAAATGGTAGCAAGTGAATAAATTCTGATAAAATAAGCAAGAAACATATACAGTCGTGACCGAGTTAAGTTACTCACATTATGAAGCCAGATAATCCGAAACTTAGATTGAAAAATTACATAGCCACAAGAATAATTATAAACATAGCAGTTTATCCCTACCTTCCAAGATAATAAAGGTTACCAATTATCTACATATCTGTCCCTTGCCTACAAATTCCAATTCTCCAACAACGATGATCTTAACAAACTTCAAGTTCTTAATTAGAAAATTAAATCCATCAGTCGGATGATTAAACTACGATTAAACTACGAAAATTCTGGCCCTCTGTTTCATCACTCCTTCAAATACGTATGCATCCAACATCAGTCCATTATGTAATATATTGAGATACTAATTTTTATTAATATGAAGCAACAACAATTAATCCACGCATCATAGTAAGAAGCAAAAAGTACAACAATAGCCAAAAGTCCAAATTAATGCAATATCAAATTTATTGACCTAAAATAGATCAGTATTTCTCTTTACATGTACTATTTCAACCAAATGCTTCTGTCTTCGATTTTTCATACTTGTGTTACAAGGAACAAGCTGTTCCATTAGTTTTTTCCTTTTTTTTTAAAATAATACAACTGATTTATTTCAAAAATTTATTGACTCATTCTGATTTAGTTAATTTAAAAACAAAATAGTTCATCTGTTAAAGAAAAACGTTTTAAAGATCAATGCATAGTCATACTTTATTTACAGCATAGCAACACCAGGAAATGTATTTCCCTGAAATATTCTAGAACAGAGGTCAATGCCATCATCGCAATACAACGCCATAATTTTCAACCATTTTTTGTCTGATTTTCAAATGAACTTGATTCACCTGTTCTTTTGTTAAAGCTTCTTCATGGCTTCGATATACCAAACGATAGGTTTGACTAGTTTTTTTCGTTCTTGGGTGTTCGAATGTATCGGTTATTTTGACCTAAAGCGAGTTAATTTTTATATGAAACTATCAAACTTTTATGTAAGTAGAAAAATGTACTAAACAAAAGTTAATAATAAATCACCAATAGAGTTATCAGTTTTTCCTACACTTATCAGATTACTTCCATATAGCATACCTGCTCAATAAGTTGATCACCTACGGAACGTATTAAATCGCATGTTTCAGCAGCCATCTCTTTGGGACCAACACCTTCTGGAAGCCAAAATGATAGATCATAGAGCACTTGAGGATGAATACTAACGGGCACATATTTGAAATTTTCATCGGGAGATTTTCCAGCAAACTGTGTCAAGAATCCCGAATCACGGCTCCAAAATAGTCGGATATCCGAAATCCCGTATAAAATCTGTAGAGAACGAAACTTATTATCCCAGGCAAAAATATACCAGAAGTTAAAGGTTTCGCGATTCTTTTCAGAGAAAGATTAGGAAATAAATAAGAACATTCTGCCAAAGTCTAAAGCAGTATATTAACCAATCACTTCATCAAAATGAATTGCGTGCCACACAATACAATCAACAAATAACTATCAATCACAAAAAGTATTTAACAAAAAAGATTATGATTTACCATTGCAAGTCTTTCAAGACCCAGGCCAAATGCCCAACCAACTTTATCCACAATGCCAGCCATTCTCAAAAGATCCTGCTCTATAATACCACAACCGAGAATCTCTATCCATCTTTTTTCGTAATAAACTTCAAGTTCAAATGATGGATATGTGAATGGGAAATCTGCATTGACCCACCTCATGTCATAATTAATGCCGAATATGTGGTGACACAAAGTCTCCAAAGTTGCCTTAAATGCATCATAAATACTTATGAATAAAGCACAGGAAGCAAGATATGCCTCATAATTTCATGCTTTCACTACAGAATTAAAATTCATTAAATGAACTGGTACAATACCAAATATTCTCCTTATGATTTTTACTAGCCACTGAAACCTTTAAGTCCTTAATTAAGCACTCTGCGACATCTTTTGTGTGTTGTCCCTGCTTCTTTGAAGTTCTTCTGTCGTTTGCAAAAAGTGATTTCTGAAATTCTTTGCACTGATGTATTTATTTTTCCTTCACAACAATATTTTATGAGACAGGCAGAACATAAAAGGCCTTTAATCAAAAAAGAAATAAGGATTTTGATTTTCGATTTATGTATATGTATAAAAAGTCTACAATACAATTTTAAACAAATAACGTAACATATTACCGGATCTCGTTTCAGTGAACCGTCAAATAGCTCAGCAGCGGTAAACAAACGGACGCCTTCTATTTGGTGAAAACAAGGGAAATGGAGGCTGTCAATTGCATCACGTCGGTATACATCACCAATCACAAGAAAGTTATCCAGGCCTAAAAGCTAAAAATCATTAATCTGCAGTCGAGCTTCAACAAAAAAATGAATTTTGTAAGAATGAAGTTGAAGCAACTAAAGTGCAGGAAAAATTAAGAAACGCATAAAGCACAATAGAAAGATTAAAATAAACAAGACTTGGATGTTTCTACTATCTTGATAAAAATTTGGAAGATCACATATTTACTAAGGTTGAAAAGAATTACGACAAACCTTGACTAATCAAAGAATGTTGATGCGCCGATGTATGCGCTCTTAAGCAGTAATCTTTATTGATGTAATAAGTGTCCTGAATACTCCGACTGACATGATTTGCAGGTACAAGCAAGGAATCAAAATTATCAAATATAGAAACTACTCGTGGTTGATTATCAATCACTGCAAATTGCGGAGACATTCCACCTAAACTTTTCCATGATGATAAGAAATCAGTTAATCGTCAAACTGCCTATAATTATCTTCGTTTTTGTGCTAGTTTTCTTCTTTACTGTTTTATGTGCAAAGAATCCCCGTTGACCTTAATAATCAATATGAACTTAACAATGTTTATCACTGTACTATTAGAATATCTGCAACTCCACCTTTCACTTGATATTTTCCATAAATGAAATTGACAATGCGTTGTTTGAGTAAACAGAGTGGATTATCAGCTTCGAAAAGCAAACGTCTCTGTAATGTTCGCAAAACGGCAGGTGATAAATTCCATTTTTCATCTGGAGATAACGAAATTCCTGGAAACAATACAATACATTAAATTTATTCTCAAATAATAGCTGAATGCTCAATATTTTTTTTTCCATTTCATATAAGTCCGACCATTCACATACACTAACCATACGATTCAGCAAATTAAGTTAAAAAAAAAAAAAAGAAAAAACCTTAAAATCAGAAGTTAAAAAACTTGCCATCAAGTTCAAAATTTTGCGGTGGGGTAGACCGCAGTCTGCTTGTTCTTGCTAGCCGAGAACAAATGAAGCTCCGTTTACACAAACGCGAAAGATACACTGATTTTAAGCGCATATGCTATATAAGTAGTTGATTTATTAAGTTAGCAGCAGATCGACCTCCAAAAAAATACTGCTCAAATGCAACTACTACCACCTGCTACATGAAGTGCTTCTCATGTAAAAGACGACGCAAAATGAGGCCTTTTACATACCGAATATATAACGAAATGAGTAAATTATCTCGCTAAATCCTCTCAAAAGCAATTCCCGACACAACTACCCGAGAAACTGTACCGAATAAGATGCACTGTTACGAACCAAACCACAATTCAGCGGAACATTTCACGAAATGACTTGCCAACTGCATGGGACATTTCACAATCTAATTTTATGCATGGTTTCTGCAAAAAACTTTACGAAACAACTTATAAATTGCATGAGATATTTATAACTTACGTGTTTTACGTGAAAACCAGAGGGCATTTTTTCAGAAATCAACCACACCGTTAGTAATTCTTTAACAAAGAAAGACCAATCTTTGTTATGCTGTGCACTCCTGTTATTAGTACTATTTTCCGCATTTCTTCTATCCAACCCACTCTAAATTGAATGCAAATCGATGGATAGTAAATGTATAAGGAAACACATGAGGCTGGTCTGTTCATTCCGATGAACATATACTAAAATTGGAACAATACAGAGAAGATTAGCATGGCCCCTGCGCAAGGATGACACGCAAATTCGTGAAGCGTTCCAAATTTTTTCGCCTTTTTCACGACGTGGAGTGACAGATAGTGTTGTATGCGTTGTGCAAATCTTTCCTGTGCATATACGCTCTGTTATTAAATTTTTTCATTTTATAAAAGCTTTTTGATGAGTTCGTACAGAAACGCTTTGTAATATAACTTGCTTAATCAAGGATATTTGACATTGATAATTTTGTTCAATGAAACTTGATTCAACAGACATTTCTACATTTACCGTGCGCATAAAATCTTGATAGTGTCGAATTGTTTAGGCAAAAGACCAATTCATTTTGTGGTCATGAGTCTCCATGTTTTACATCTAAATGTTAAACATTCCTTCATTCCCAGCACTTCATGTCCCAAACATTTGCATATTTCGTTGCATGAATTTAAATTCAAATATTTTATGCAGGAAGTTCTGATTCTTTTTATTGCAGCACTAACTTTTCCTGGGATTTTGTGTATTATTTCTTGCCGACCCGTTTAATTCCACCATTGATAGTACAGTCACTCAGGTGATAATTTTTAAATGATGAATTCTTTCTCATGGGAGATACAGGAGGATCGTTTCGATGATGTTGAGTCGGAAATGGACGAAAAGTTATCCGCCTACGAAGACGATCTTTACATTGATGGTCAGTTGTATATTAAATTTATTTTTCAAGCTGATTAAATATGATGTAAATTGATGGCATGATTTTATAACTCAGGTTCTTATAATATTACTGAATTATGTTTAAGATCGATTGAAAATAATACCTTAATCGTAAGTGTTATAGTACGTAATTTGTAGTTATCATCGTTAAAGTTCAATAACGGTGTTCTAAAAATCTTCCTTTTTTCATGCAGGCTTCAATGTTTTTACTATTTTTTTTTTCTGTCGCCCAATATTTATGGTTACAGCAAGTCTTTTTAATAATTTGTATTTCAGACCCCGGAATCGTCGAGCATGAAAAATTAGATGAAATAACGATTACAAATCATTCGCCACTGAGGCTGTCTACTATAGCGGAAGAATCAAATATTGTAGCAGAAGGTTATTATTTGTAAATATTTCTTTGGAGGGTCTTTCGATGTATCAGTTTATCCTGTCAATTTTTCTGAGAACTGGCAGAAGTCAGTTTTAGTTTTATTTTCATGTTATTTTATATCTGGATAACATATCCTTTTATTATTAAGTGCTTTAAGGAAATGAAATTGGTGCACGAAAAACTACGTATGTTGACTCAATCTTCGGACCTGGCTTAAGAGAAAAATTAAGTGGTGAAAATGAGGATGTAGTGGAGAGAAGTCCATTGTTTAAAAGAGGACGAGAAGGCAAATATTATTACCTTGATTACAAACTTCTGTATATAATTTGCCCACTTTTTTGTTAATAGATATTATTTTAGAAACATTATTAGGAAGCTGTCATTTCTCTAATTGTTTTTATAGTTTATCACTCTGAAATTTCAGAATTATGTAAGAATTCGCAATTTTTTTGTTCTAAGTCTATTGGGAAGGAAACAGTTAAGTTAGATTTAAAATTCATGTAAATAGGTGAAACTCGATCATATATTTATTCTTACTGACATAATTCATCGAAATGTTCATCACTACTTTAAGAATGATACCTACACTTTCTCAGTTTTACCACTCACTGTTTTTCTGTTCCAGTAATTCACTTTCATTATTTTTTTTTCAGCTCTTAACATGCTGCAACATGATCAGGAATCATTTTGTAAGCAGCAGCAACAGTTGGTACATGATGGTTTTGGTGTCGACAGGCCATGCCTGGAGAAAGAGAATAGTTGGGAGCCATCCATTCATTCTTCACTCCCACCATCACCAAAAATCTGCGTCAGTGAACTTGCTGCTTTCAGTATGTTTCCCTTATAAGTTGAAATCTATGAATATTTAGTCATTAAAACAGTTTCTTTTTTTGTTAGACTTAGTGAAATTTTTATTGTAAGTTCTGAATTCATAGCTTTAGCAACATAGCAGCTGTAAATGTAGTAGCTGCGTAACTCTCATCTAATTCCCTATGTTTTGTACATTTTAACTTTTTCATGAACACAGAAAATATGTCTGACGCTACGGGGATAGGAGAACATGGGTCTCTGTCCTTCCCATTGAATTAATTTTCATCAAATGGTAGCTGAAACTGCTGCCGAACTAGTTACATACGAAAAAATAATTGATTTGCATGTTTTTAAGAGTTTTATGTTGGGAGTAATTATTCACTATCATTGTTTTTGCAAAAATGAAAAAATGTGAGTCAACTAATAAACTTTTTTATTCAAAGACATGACAGATTCTCATTTAATACCCACCACATTGCCTCGAAAAGAAACAAATCAGGATATTAAAAGCACACCACCGGGTATTTCCTCGCACATGCGACGTTTGAAGAGAAAGAATGAACCAAAACAGAATTTTGGCGGACCCAAAATGTCTACTCCTAAATGTAAGTCTTGCATGTGTTTTCCTTTTCTTTAAGGGTTTTTAAGGTTTCCCAAATTACTAGAAATGAGAAGCGTGGATTAGAAAATATTTTTTTTTTCGATTTATTGAAAACAAGTTTTACAATATTGAAAGGAATATGAGCAATTTCAGCAGCAGAAACTTCGCTTCGAGCTTTAAGTATAAATTGCATCTCATCAATTTATCCGGAAGCAACTTCGCCTCAATCGATCCGAGGAACGAATTTGAAATTCAGTGGTCCTTTCCCAATGGCACGCAGAATGTCCATGGTCACGGAAGAACCATCGTTAAGCAGTTCTGCTATCGACAGAGTTCTTGAGGTTGCTGTTCAAATGAAGATTGCTTTAATTCTATTGATGTTATGAATAAAAAAGATATTATAAAATATTTTTTGCAGAAGGAAAATTTTGACAATGATGACGCACTCGTTGAAGCCTTATTACAAGCTAAAACACGACCTCGTCTGAAACTGAATTTTCCCGAAGTGATTGTAGGAAAACGACCTGAAACAGATGGTTTATTTACATATTTGATGTTAGGTTTTTAGGCTTCAGTAAGTGTCTCTATTTTTACATTTGGAGAATTGTCGCTGCTGCTATTAGTTATTGAAAAACAGGGATTTTTTTATGCTTTTAGAAGTTTTAGAAATTTCTTATGAATAGGCAGAAATAAATCAGAGTAAAAGAATGTGATCGAAATTTTTGATTTCAGTTTTATTTTTGAATGATTCTGTTAGTTTTTGTCACAAACCGAAAATACGAGAGTAATAAAAGGATTGTCTATGTTTACTAATGATATAATGTTGTTTTAGAACAAATAGAACGTTCTTTAAGAAGGTGTGAAAGATCAGCTGATGATTCTAATGCTAATGGTCATAACCAAATGAAAAATGGTTGGTATCAATCTTCTTTTTCATTCAATCATGGTTGCATGAAAAAGTGGTTACATGAGTAAATCATATCTTTTACCCTTTCCTGTTTATATTCTTTCATTGAAATGCATGTCTGAAATTAATTTAAATTTTACTTACTTTTATCAAAAATTCTTTAATTAAAAAAACATTCACTCTTTACATTACATATTGCTATGATAACAATGATGTCATTAAATCTAAAATAAAATTTGAAATTTATTTCCTGTTTCTAATCTTATCTAAATAATAAATTTTTGATAAGATTTTAAATTATAAGGATTTGAAAAGTCAGTACGTATAGCTTTCCTGATTGAGACTGGCATAAATATGAGATGTAATTTTTTTAGTGACTACCAGATATGACCGTTCGGGCATAACCAACAAAACGAAAAAACTAAAAACTGTACAAGAGTTGAATTTATTGCGAGAGATTAGCAATACTGCAGAAGATTTGTCACCATCTGCAAAAACGAAGTGGAAAAGTGAAGCATGCAGTGATTGGTGAGTCATAGAGCATTAATATATTATTTTCTTATTTTTTTTTCCATATTTCAGTTGGATCTATTATTCTCCGTTTTGAAAAAATTTTAAAAAATGTCCCTCTCTACGAACATTTTTTCTAACAAGTTTCGTAAAAATAGACATATGATGGTTTGATACTTAAAGTGAAATCTGAAACTTTGAGATCTGAATTTGAAATTTATTTGAAAATTCTCCCATTCAGAAGCTGAATTTGTTTCAGTAATTATAACGCCGAAGTTCTTTCTGAAGTACTGCAATGCCTGATAATTAAATAAAATATCGGTTTGGTGCTCACTTTGAGTTTATTGTAGCTCGCTTCGACACATCGATGCGGAAAATCAAGGCAAATTCCTGTCATGTGATCAGTCTTTTGTTTATTTTGGATTTGTCGATGTCAAATGTCGTGTAAATAGATCAATTAGATTGCGAAACATCAGCTCAAAATCATTGAATCTCAAGCTACAGTTGCATAGCATGAGTAGAGGATATGATGTATGTGTTTATAAATTTCAAATTTCCGGATTTTTTGTTTACTGTTTAATGGTTATTGTATTGTAAGAACTAATAGATATTCTCAATCGTTTTATTAGTCCAAGTGGATTCCTGCTACTAAATTATATTTTTTTTAGTTGCTGGAACAGGGCATTATTGTGTTGAAGCCTCAAGAAATTCATTTGGTTCATGTCATATTTCAACCTCCCTTTGGAGCTTGTTTTCAAAATACTCTAACTATCAGAGTTCTCAACGCAGAGCATATTAATTATTCCGTGAGTGCTTATTCCTTATGATATTTTTGCTTATTTACCTCCACAACATCAAGACTTGTCTAAGATTCAAAGTGGAAGGAAATCAATAATTTACTTGGATTTATTAAAATTTTTAGATCCCCTTGCTCGGTAGTGGTGGTATTGCTGCTTTACGCATTTTGACACAATCTGGACTCACTATGCTGCGTGATGGCTCATTTGTTCTGACAGCTCAAGGAGTTACAAATATTAGTTTCGATGTTGAAAATAGGGGTCTAAGGTAGTCTATAGTAATCTTTTTTCTATTTTTCCTTTAAGCATTGTCTATTTTTAACACTGTTTCTTGTCCAAGTTGATTCTAACCCCACTTCCTCGTGAGTAGTAATTTATGGTGAGTCCGTGATTTATAATTCTAATGGTACAGTCTTCGTTCATTTAAATTGTTTTCAGTTATATTAGTCATTCTTATTTCTTCTTACAATTATTACCACATATTTTGGTCGAAAAGTTGACTTTTAACAATATTCTTTTCTAGAACTAAAGTACCAAAACCTTTCTTATTTGTAATTTGCTGAAACATCCTGTTTTTCTTTCTGAAACATCCTGTTTTTCTTTATTTCCAGAGATGCATTTGTGCGGGTGGTTGTAGTAAATAAAGAGACAAAAAAAGCTATCAGTGGATGCACTATTGCGCCATCTGACTGTGTTTCCATCTTGCATCGCAGCAAACAAGTAACTCTTACAAACTCTTCCTTGAAATTCTCTCTGAACACAATTTTAAATAATAATGGATATATTTCCATAGTTCTCTCCTGAAGTCAATTTATTATGGAAGGAAATTTATTAAATTTGCAGAAGTTTAGTATTGAGGTTCCTTTCCTCTGTGGCGAAGAAAACAATGGTAATTCAAATCCCTCATTTCCTTTCTCTTCGTTTTCAATGCCTTTAGTAGCAGGGAACACTCAATACTATGTTCAGCTGCTGTGGGGCGAAGAAGCACAAAGACGTCGACTTAAAAGGTAATCAAAAAAATTTGAAAAAAAATGTGATGAAAATGTTTCAATTTTTCTCCATTCAGTTTTTCTTAGTCTGTTAGTCCTATTTGTTTATTTGCAACAAATATCTAAGTTGAAAATTTTCAGATATGAAAATATGAAATGTGCGAATTTTGCTTTCAATGGGCTTACTTTTACGAAATGTAAATTCATAAATGAAAAGGAATGTAAATCTACAGCTTCCGAAGATGCTTTTTATGGTCCTTATGATCGTGATGCCTTCGAATTGGGATTGAGAATAACTTTGATTTCGGTATTTTAAATACTTTCCTTTTTTGAGTTGAAAAAAAAAAACGAAAAAAAAAAACTAGGAAGCTACAACTTCATTCCAAAATGAAAGATTGGAAATGAAAAAGGATTAGATTTAAATGAGAATGAAAGTAACTTTATTAAAATGATTTTAGGTTGTGGATAATCGGCTTTCCTTGTTATCCCGGAATAGTTGTCTTCCGCATGGGGAAATCCATACTGAAAGTGTCATTCTCGAACCAAATGCAGCCTTGTCACCAACAGCTGGCAACAAAAGTGTTGTGGAGGACGTTTCTACCATTTTTACTGCTAGTCGTGTTTTGTAAATTTGTGAACTTACTGCATATTTACGTGCTTGCTGTCACTGAATTTTAATCACCTTAGTTACTCTATTTCGTTTCATTCTACAAAGCATCAGTATACCATAAATTACTTATTTAGTCGTGCTGTACATCAGTTATCTGTTGATTTTTAGTTTATATTTATATATTCATTTATTAAATGCACGCATGTATGTGTATGTGTATACGACACTATGACCCGAACCTTGTTGTCGTTTTCTCCCAATAAAAAATCGGAGTTGCAGGTTGCCACATCTTTTCATCCATCCGAATCAGCCCACTTTTATCCAATAATTTGCCCACCTTTTCAAGAATTGCTCAAGTTTGGGAAAGGATATATTCATCGAGATATAATCGAGATCAGATTCTGAGTTAATCACAATGTGCAATGTTGATGCATGAGATGTCATGTCATGTCATGTCATGTCATCCACATCACAGTGGATCACCATCATTACTGAGCGAAACAATCCGGTATTGCTCTGGTTGAGCGCCAACCCCCTCCGTTCCTTCAAATCCTTCCCAAAATCCATCCTCCAATCCGCAAAGCGAAAACCATTTTGGCTGATTACTGAAGTCTCTGGAATGCCGGCATCATTCGTCACCACTCTTCTCTTTTCCTTCTCTGTGTCAATTTCGCTCAGATCCTCCAATGCCCAGGTTATATTCATATTATAATCTCTTATTGAATCCTTATTCCTTCTCTTTCTCCTACCCATCCCTACTTCTTCTTTTCACTTTCACGCATCGGCGCACAAAAATTTTTCACACTATTTTAATTTTTTGGACTGATCGTTGGAACTGATTTGAGTTATTGAAACATTTTCAGTCAGATTAGAATCAATTTAAGCTAAATATGATAATTAAATTCTTTTCTGGGAAGATTACATGGACTTTGTTTTTGTTCGAGATATCATTCAACTCAGAATTGGATTAATACATCATTTTCTGATTAAGAATTCCACAAGCCACCATTCGTCAACAACAAAAAAAGCTATCTCGTGAAATTTTCACACATATCTGAATTCCTGGCTTTTTCTCAATTTTGTTTTCTAAAATGGTGGGATTGGTGGGCAGTCGGTATCCAAAAAGAGAATGTTAATGCAATTATAATTGTTGCAGTTTTATGGCATTTGGATGGTGGCATTTATCAAGTAAAAATTATTAATACAATTGGTCAATTTGAAATATAACCCCATCTTCTCTGGACAGCAGAAATTTGTCTAGAGATGTCAAAAACGTTCATGTGAAGGAACGATATTTGTTCGTTGACCAGCTTTTTTCATTTTTATTAAGGTTCTAGCAGTTCGGAATAGCCTTCAAATTTCCACTTTTCGAAGCGATCCCATTACAAATGGTCACAAAATGGCTTCGGTTTTAAAGTATGCAGTAGACAAATACAGCTTGCTATTTAGATCGCTGTCAAACTTCAATGGAAGAAAACCACTTTATTGCTCGGGTATCTTTTTCACAATCCTGCCTTAGCTTTTGTCGTATTTCTTGGCGGTTTTTGATGAAGAAATGAGGGATTTCTTTCAGCACGCTAAATAAAAGTGGCGCTTTTAACGTGAACGATTCCTGTGATGGTGAACAGGTAATGGTTTTCTCATACCAAATACTTTATTCATTAATATATTGTTGCTACAGGTTTGCTTTTCGAAATTTAATGACTTCCACCGGCGTATTATTTTAAAATCAAACAGCTTGCGGTGTTGAAGAGGTAATGACCAAATCGACTGGGGCGTTTGGGCCACTGGGATATGTCTTTTCATGTTGACCCCAGAAAAAGCAGAGGATTTTGTTGTCCGGTGCTGATGGACGGAAGTTATCTGATGGTGGTTGGTGGTGAAGTTGTTTCGAGTTGGGAGTTGGGTTTTTGTTGCTTGTGTACTCTGTGGTGCTGTTTATAAGAGTAGTCGTTGCTACTGATCTTTTATGTTTAATTTTAGGCTAGAAGGATGAGTCGATTGATTGTTAAAGGCTTGCCATCAAATTGCACCGAGGAAAAGCTACGGAGTCACTTCAAAAGTTTCGGAAAAATCACTGACTGCTCACTAAAATACACCAGAGATGGGAAATTTCGTCGTTTTGCATTTGTTGGATTCGAAACGGATGAAAATGCTCAGAAAGCACGTGATAATCTGCACAATGCATTTATGGGAACATCACGATTGACCGTAAAAATTACCCGCTTTTCTTTTAAACTGTGTCAATGCTAAGATTTTCCGTAATGAACTTTTAACGTTATCAAGATGTTAGTTTATTTCTTTGCTGAAGTCAGCATTATTTTAGAATTGAAAATCTGTTGCTTAATTACGTTATGATTTTGAAAAAGCATCTGTAGTTTAAAATTTCCCTAATGACATATTGCTTTACTCTTGCAATGAATTTGTTCTTTTATAGCCATTATGAAATATTGCTTTTGTCAGGTAGAAGAGTGTAAGCCGTTCGGCGACTCGACAAAACCGAGGGCTTGGAGTAAATACGCGAAGGGAAGCAGGTAATAGAGTAGTCAATTAAATTTATAAAATTTCTTTATCAAGACAGTTGACATGTGTTCTGTAAGGATATGGTTATTTTACTTTTATTTTTTTGCTTTCTACCAGTAAGTATTGATTTTTTTTGTAGTGCATATAAGCGTTTGCATCCTGAGGAAGAAGAGGAGAAAATGAAGAGAATCATTTCACTTAGAGGCAGTTCACCATCGGCCAAAAAAATGAGAAAGGAAAGCGATAAAGAATTTTATGATTTCATCGAAGTGCAAAAGGTTAATATTTTTTGGAGAGTTAGTATTATTATTATTAAAATCTTTTCCTGTTTTTAGTTGTAGTCAAAATAAATAATCATGAGTGTTGTGCGGTCTGACTTGCTACTGTAAGTAATCTTTGGGATTTGAGATTTCTTTCCTATGTTTTATCTTGTTTTCAGAGCGCACTACCAATTCCAAGCAGTAGTAATGATGAAAGCAACAACAATCTCATAGAGGAATTGCTCACTGGAGTCAGTGGTAAATTTTTGGAATGGAAGAATAATGTATGGAATCCGCATGGATTTTTAGTATAATTAAAGTTTACAGCTCTATTTAATTTAGAGCAAACAAGATGCTTGCTTTAAATACAACTGTCAAATTTTCATTGTGATATGGATTCATTCAGTCCTTGAGACAGGAAAATATCACTTGAAATGTGAATTTATATAATTTAACAACTCTTCAAAGTTGGTTATTAAAGAGTGGAAATATAATACTGAAAAAGTACTGTTTGCTTTATATTAAATGATGAAAATACTTAACATCATGAAAATGCATTATCAGCTTTTATTATCTAATTGGTCATAAAAATTTGTTATTTCATCATTTTCCTTTTTTACTATTTTCTGTAATACAGTTATTATAGGGGATACGTTATTATCGCTGATAATACGTGGTTTCCCGAAAACTGTAAAAGCAAAAGGAATCAAAGATTGGTTCAGCCCTATCAAGTTGAAAGGGATAAAAATTGTACGTGGCTCAGCTGAAGCTATTGCTTTTGTAACATTTTTTAAAGAATCTGATGTGAAAAAGGCGCTGAAACGGGATGAACAATTTTTTGGTGGTTCCAAGGTTTACTTTTTTTAAAAAAAATTTATTAATGTTTGCTTTCACCTCTACTGAAGAACATTTAATGCTCCGCTGGTGATATAAAAAGCGCAAATCATGAGCGATAAAGAGCAGAATTTTTCCAGTCTGTTTACTACAGGCAAGCATATCACTTATTTAGTGATTGAGTTTTTTTTTTTTTTTTTTGAGCTGGAAATAACAAAAGTATTGAGTAATCGAGTTTCTAAAGATGTGGAAGATTATGTTCACATGACAAGAGAAGCAGAAGTCGAAGCATCTGTAGCAAAGATTCTCGAAACTGGAAGGTTAATTTATTTTTGTTTATAGTATTACCTACACTGCGCGGACTGTTTATATCGTATATAATTATTACATTTATTTAAATATTAGTTTCCAGACTCTTTGTCCGAAATCTACCCTATGTGTGCAGTGATGAAGACTTGCGATACCTATTTAAAAAGTATGGTGAAATATCTGATTTGCAAATGATTGTTAGCAAAAAAACGGGCTTATGTAAAGGGTTTGCGATCGTCACATATGTTTTTCCAGAATCTGCTGTTGCGGCATTCTCAGCATTAGATGGTTCCATTTTAAAGGTTGGTTCTGCACATTCTCTAAAATTCGGAGCTGTTATTGATTGATTTGTGCTTTTTATCCTATTTATTCATCTTCCTTCTCCTTATAGTTGAAATATTCTGTTCTCATTAACTTTTAGGGAAGAATGCTTCACATTTTACCTGGAGAAGAGAAACGTGAGATAGAACAAATTGACATCACTGGTAAATCGGCATTTCAGAAAACAAAAGTTGCAAAACTAAAGGTATTTTTCTTGAAAGATGTTCATCAGCTAACATTTCGAATAATTCGGTAGAGTCATTTTATGATTCTCTAGAAAGAAGCTGGAAAATCTCATTCGTGGAATACATTGTTCCTTGGAGCTAATGCAGTTGCTGAAACGCTGGCTGAGAAACTGGACGTTGAAAAAAGTGATTTGCTGCTTGGACAAGGTGAAATAAGGTATATTTCTATTAACAGGAATTAAATTCTTAACTGATCCTGCAACGGTGAATAAAGAATTTCTGAATTTCTGGATTATACTTATCAATGGAGATTATACTTATCAAATGATTATAAAACACCTTATTTTGCATTTAAAAAATTAGGGAGTTAAGCTTTGTCGGAATCTCTTACCTTTTTTTGTAATTAATAGCGCTGGTGTACGTATGGCACTTGCTGAAACACGACTGGTTAGTGAAACTCGAGAATATCTGTTGGCGAATGGTATATGTCTGGATGTTTTTTCACGTCCTGCAACAAAAAGAAGTAATACAGTGATTATCATCAAAAATTTAACGACCAAGGTTGATACTGAGGAATTGAAACGAATGTTCGCAAGACATGGCCCCGTAAAACAGCTACTGATGCCTCCCGGTAAGCTAAAAGTAGTAAAAGTAAGGTAACAAATTAAGCGTTTTACTTTTTTTCATGGGAGAAATAATTTCTCTGGTATGAGAATGTAATTGATTACTATTTTGTAAAGGTTCTTTTAATGGATCATTAGCTCAGTATTTTATGGTTATCTAGAATCATCTGATGTGATGGTGTCAACTGAAGTAATTTTGCATCATGCAGTTACTGGTTTTAGAATTTTCAGAAATTTACTTTTCACAAACTTGATTCAGATTTTAGATTCAAATATTTCTTAAAAATCTAGGTTACTTATAGGAGGTATCACTGCTATCTTGGAAATGGAAAATTCAGTTGATGCTCAGAAGGCATTTAACACGCTTGCATACGCTCGATTTCGTTCGCAGCCGTTATTTCTTGAATGGGCACCGTACGATTTGTTTAAATTAAGTTCGTTGGTTTTCGATGTTTTTGATAATTTGTTATAGAACTAGTTCGTTTCAGAATAGAACGGTGATTTCTTCCTTTACTTTTTTTTAGGAAAATTGGAGAGCAAAGATGAAGATCAAAAACAGCACAGACCTGAAATCCAAACTGAAAGAAAGGATAATGAATTCATAAAAGAAGACAAAAAGCTGAGACGAAGCAAGAAGCATCGATTAACTGAAGAATCAGTCGAAGCTATAGAACTACAAGAAAAAGGCACGAAAACTTTAGTAAAGAATATAATAACGTCCCTTCAAGAATGGTTAAGAAATGCTGGACAAAATTAGTTAGAGGGCCACTATTTGCTGTTGTTGGTAAATGCATTAAGTCATTTTTCCTCTGATCCAAAATGTTTTATTTTGATCTCACTGCTCCAAATATAAATCATATTTCATTTCCAGTTAATGCGAAGGAAAAATTCTTATTACTATTCAAGGTTGTGCACGCAAATAATTGATGTGCTGTGCCTGTTTTTGTTATCGTCACTTTTAAAGATTTTAAAAAATATTGTAGCATTAAATTATTGTTTTTAGTTGAGTCGGTTGAAACAGTCAAGAGTGGAACGATAGCCAAAGACGGGGACATGCAGCAGCAATCTGCAGTAGAAATGCAGATCGCTGAAAATAGAAATGATGACAGCGATGACAATGCTAAAGAGAAAGATGACCAGTTGTTGCCAGGAACAACATTATTTGTAAAGAATTTGAGCTTTAAAACAACTGATGAAGGGCTGAGAAACAAATTTGAATCACGATTTCGTATACGATCGGCTACTATTTCCAAAAAAAGAGGTGGTTTTGTTAATGTCTAATGTTTTGAGCATCATGAAAATAGTTTTTTTTTTTTAAAAAAAAAATTTTTTTTTTGGAGTTTTATACTTATTTTTACTTATTTATTTTTCCAGAGTTATTTTTATTTATTTTTTATATCACAGAAAATAGTTTTGCTGGACCAGCTAACTGGAGTGAAGTGCTGTTCAGATAAGGTTATTCATCACTGCTTTTTTCAGATCATTATGTTGTTAAGTAAATGCTTGAAAAATTGTACATTTTTTTACCAGTGCAGAAAATATTAAAGTAAAATAATACTATTCAAATTTTGTTTTTTTAAAGGCAGTGGTAACAAATGTTGCATTGCTACTATGTTTTAGATGCGACAGATGCGACCAAAACGCTTTCAATGGGATTCGGTTTCATTACATTTTATCAGCCAGAGGATGCACAGCAAGCCATAAAAGATATGCAGGTCTGTTTATGAAAAATATTTGTGTGCTAATTTTCGTGAGTGAAGAAAGCATTTAAAAAGTTTTTTTAGTCATAAACGATTTATGTTATTTTTATTTTATTTTCATTTCTTCTATTTTCAGGGTGTTTTACTAGATGGTCATTGCTTAATGTTGAAATTATCCCATCGAGAAGTTGTATCTGATAAGATTATTGCAAGGAAAGGAGTTGATAAATTGGAGCAAGGGGAAGCTACTAAAGTAGTTTTGTTTTTGTTGAATCTCATTTATGAAATTGATTTTATTTGATATATCTTAGCAGGGAATAATTGCACCATGCTTTTTTTAACTACTTAATTTATTAGTGATTTGATAGACTACTATCAGAATGATTTTTTCTTAATGAATTTAACAATTTAATATAAGAATTGTTATGTGCTGTTGTAAAATTTCTTGAAATTTCGTACTCTAAATAGCTTAGCGACGGTTAGATAAACATGAATCTCATCTGCGGGTTCTTGCCTACTTTACTCGTATTTAGTTCGTCTCATATTCAAAATTTTGTTGTGGTACTGCTAAAAGAAATAAATATGGTTTTGTGCTCTTCTGCCATTTTATGTTTTCCTTTTCCAGATTTTGATCAGAAATATACCTTTTCAAGCAACTCGAAAAGAAGTCAGGCAACTTTTCGCTACCTTTGGTGAGATCCGCTCTTTCAGAATGCCGAAAAAGGCAGGTTTATTTCACTTATCTGTTTATATGGAAAGATTGTTTCATTGTTATTACCTCATCTTCCTGATATTAATGAATTAAGTTATTCGAAGTTCTCAGTGTTTTTTTTTTGATTTCCATCTATGACGGTGATACTTCCTCATCTTTAATAATTTAGGTTGGTGCGTCAGCGGAAGGTCATCGTGGTTTCGGCTTTGTTGATTTCTTAACTCGTGCTGATGCACGACGTGCATTCAATGGTTTGGTTCACTCAACTCATTTCTATGGTCGAAGATTAGTTCTGGAATGGGCTAAGCCCGACAGTAACTTAGAAGAACTTCGAGAGAAAGCAGCTGCGAATTTAAGGTAAATCTGACATATTATCATTTCGAACAAAATTTCATAGTTCTATTGAGTCTTTATCATTGTCTAATCTTGTTTTAAAACAGATGAAATTCATTAAATTATTGTCAAAACAGTCGATTACTCTTGCTGACTATATTGCATAATTTTTGCAGCGGTAACAAGGGAGAAGTTCGGCTGCAGAAAAAAATGATGAGAAAAATTGAACAGGATTTAACAGTGATCGATGACGACTGATTGATATTGTTTAATATTTTCTTTTTTTGCAGTTTTTCTGTTAAGTTGATATTATTTCTGTCAAGTAATGGAGAATTTCATATTTAAATTTCCTGCAAAGTATTTTGTTTTTGTTAAGTACTTTTTTCATTAAACAAAATATTCGAAGAAAGCAGAAATCGTGTAAAAAAATCATGGTTAGGATTCGTAATCTTTTTTTGAGGGTGATTTGAAAGTTTTGTATTTCATGTATGAAATCAACAGCATCAAAATGAATTTGTTAGTAAATGATATGGAGATCAAATCTATTCACAAAATTAACAATAGTTTTATTAAGGTCTTCATATTTATCGTGGTTTTTATAGGAAAAGCAATAATCATGACATTTGATTTAATGCATGCGTAATTAAGTGTAGCTTTCGCAATCTTAAATCGTGAGATCGTTTTATATTCACCTTGAAGGCATAAAATACAGTTCCCGATAAATTTCGAAGTCGAGGAGGTAGTTCATCATGATCTCTAAAATCAAGAGTAAAATCTGGGAAAATCTCCGTTACTATATGTTTTTTCGTGAGCCAGACTAGAACTGTATCATCTAAGCTTCTGGTACTGGGAATTGTCTAACCGAAAAGCAATGTAAATACTAATAGAAGATCGGGAGAAGTGGATAGGCCTTGTGTATGGTAAATGAGGTGAGTAATAATGATACAAGTCCGTTAACTACGCTATCCATACTGTTATGCAATCTTTTATCAATATTTGGCTCTAAAAATTGGTTATAGAAAGGGATTTGGCGCAAATTTTTTTAAAATCAGCTTAATTAAAGAGAGATAACATTAAACGTGGGAAATATAGATTAATTTTATGCGAAGTACACAGGCTTCAGAAGCTTTCAGACTTTCAGAAATGAACATTTACATCCTCTGCTCTTGCTAGGTCTAGTATTTTAATGGAATTATACAATGATAAAAATGAAAGTATTGTGAGACTTCGTTGACAGACACTGCAGGAGTTGACAAATAACATTTCATATTTTTAAATATTATTTGAAGAGGACAAATGTAAATTTGGATTGTAATTTTAATTGACTAATTTTTGTAAACTAAGTTAAGCTGTTAGGATTACCAAAAAGAGTGATAAACTTATTTATTTGCTGGATTAAGACCTGAAATTATTTGCTTTATTAAAGCGAAAAATAAAAATTAATGTATGGGCTCCAAAAACTTAAAGCTTAATTTAACAAACATCTGTCATATCTGCTGTCAACATCGACAAAAGCTCAAAGAGGATCATATGCTCAATCCTTAACATATTTTGAAAAATTTCCAGATTTTTAAGCATCTATTTTCGAAACAAATCAAAATGTCAGAAGTAAATAGATCTATGAAAAGGCTATTTACTGAAGGAATAATTTCATTTTTTACTTATCTATCATCACAATAGTTATAGTACCTTATCAATGATTATTTGTTAAAAATGAAATCAATCCATCAAATTTCAGAAGAAATGTAATGTTTTTTCCTATGGAATTTTGAAGACAATTGTCTTACAGCATTTTCTTTAGGATAAAGGCTTTTCTACAAATGTTATTTTTCTAAGCATCAAATTCATACTCAAAAATTAGTGAAAAAGCAAAGCTGCAAATCCTTTCAGCACGAGAATTGTAAAATTATTTTAACATTTTTAAATAATCAATTAACTGAACAACTAGCTAGCTATATTACTGTTTGCAGCAAAGCAATTGTGCTTCATCGAACAAATGCGCTCCAAAAATATTCTTTCTTTCAATGATGAATAAACACAATGAAAACTCTTTGTATATCTCACAAATAGATTCTTTTTTGGCAATTTGGTCGTAATTTTAACTTGCCAGCGATTATTTCAAATGAAAAAAGAAATAAACATTTAATGGACTTTCTTTGCACAGATTTAATTTGAACTAAATTATGATTAATTTTATGAAATTAATTATTTTTATTGCGATATTGTAATGCAAACTCAAATTTTCCCATTGAATTGTAACATAAATAATGTCGCATTATGTCAAATTCACAATATAAACTCCAATTATTATTCCACATGTAAAAAAATTTTTTAAATATTGAAATTTTCTAATTACTATAAATTACGACACTTTTGATGGAATCGGTTCGTTAATGGATGGAATATTGCGGGAAATAGTTGTAAATTGTGTCTGCAATAAATGTTTTATCCAATGATAACAGAAAGATAACAGATAAAGGATCATCTGCTGTTGCTAATCAGTGTTCATTTCCTTCTCAAAACATTGTCACTTTTAGTTGTTAAAAATGAATTTGATAAAATAAAATTATTTGTGATGCTGATTTCTGCTGTTTCTATCAGTAATGCTTAATTTCTCTCTTTATTCTCGAGTTTAAGCAAACAAGCTAACGGGAAATAATTTTATTGATAAGACAATGCTGTTCAGCAGATGACTATCTGATAAATAGTATTAACAGTCTTAGCTTTCAAGTTATTTTTCTGTCTTGATATCTAGACGGAATGTTTGAAAAGAAATTCAAAAAAGTTCGAGTTAGTGAGAAATCATAGCTGCTGAAGAAAAGAGAAAGGATGAAAAGAAAGGTAGAAGTTGAAGTTTCTTCTGGTGTTTTTATTCTTTCCGATTTCTTTTCCCTCTGTCTTTCTCATTCCACTTTCATTTTCTATTACCTGCTGATTTCACTCCTTTTTATTAACTCTTCTTTTTCAACTTACTAATGAATATCCGCCCACATCTTCAGTTTAATTTTAGCCTTCTTTATTCACTCTGCTTTCTCCACCATGGCATCCAGAACTTCCGGACTCTCTCCCATACAACACAGCTAGCAAATGAATGACTACTCACAGAGAAGGCCTACCGCATTCCACCACCATTCTGCACCTCTTTCCTGATTCCTTAACCGATCTTCTATTTTGGTGTTGCAAAGCAGTCGTTCCTGTCTACACCACTACTAAAGCTTATATTACACAAATTCTGGAGTCATTAGCTGTGGAACTCTTGTCAGAAGCGCTTCAGCAGACACAAGCGCATCACATATAATCTCCTCTTCTTGTCCTTCACCTTATTCCTATCAGTGCTTTCTTAGCAAAAACTAAACCAAATCATTGGAACTGAATTTCCCATCCATTCAATTAATACTGTTTCAGAGTTTTTGTTCAAGAAATATTTACATAGTAATCTTATTTGTTAAATAAACAACTCTTAATATACTTCCTTACTTGATGTTTTTCTATAAATTCCATTAAAGAAACCTCAAACTTTGTCTTTAATAATAGCTTTGCGTACTGTTATTAAATTGGGAACGTTGTTGTTTGATTTAGTTTAAATTTCGTTGTATTTATGCAAATATTATACTCTTTAATAGGCAGAAGTGAAATTTTTTGTAAAGCGAAAAAGTCAACTCTTTGTAATTTTCACATTTGATCATATTGAAATGAAAACGAAGACTTGAACTTCTTTTCAGCCTTTCTTAAGTTAATGTTTGCAGAAATTTGAAAGTACACAATAACTGCTTATGAATTGTAACTTTAATGAAAATTTAAAGCTGAAAAGAGACAACTTCAGCCTTTATTTTTAAACTTCAATCCTAACTAAAACGTTTTAAACAATCACTAAGAGATTACTATGACGAATTTAAGTTACTAAAATTTTATTTAGGTCAGTTCAACTATTGAAAACCATTCTTCTGTTGCTTAGTTTCGTCATTTGAAATTTTCTAAAAATTATTAGAAAATTTTAATAAATTATTTGAAATTTCCTCATCTATGGCAAAATATTTCTATTTTAATCCTTGATTTTATTTGTAATACTTAAGAATGTATTTCTCAATCATTATTTTATGTTTCTCTTCTTCCTTTTTTTCATAATTTCGACTACTGTATCTACCTCCAAGAAATTTAGTTTGTTATGAAATCCTGACAAATGTTTTGTATTTTAAAATGGAATCAATTCATTTCATCATAATTGACCTATGTTTACATCTGCTGAAAATAAGAAAAAAATTTTCGGATTCCTTTTTTTTTTTTTTTTTTTTGCCAATTTCAAAACATAAATAAACTAAGTTTTAGTTTATTTATGTTTTTCCGCTTCTTTAGAAAACTAAACTGATAAAATGGTTAGTAGAGAGATAAGAGCATTGGTAGTTGATAGAATAGAACCGACAGATAAATAAGTAAGTAGGTGGATCGGTGGATAGATAGATAGATGGATGGATGGAGATGATAAATGGATTCATCATATACCACAACAATTTGTGGTTTCTACAATGCCTGCTACACAATTTTCTTCAACAGCAGTTGTTCAGGAATACTCCTTTTGATAAAAGAGAGAAATGAAAGTAATTCTGTTAAATTTTATATTTTTACTAATTATTATAGCGTTAAGAAAAAATGTTTTCTTAAATTCCTTTCATTTTTTAATAGTATTATTAAAATAAAATAAGAAGAGCAAAAAAGAATAAATGGGAGATGGCGAGATATTTGTTATTTCTAACTTTTAAAGTATTCCAATATTTTTTTGTTTGTGTTTTCATTTCATCTCAGTTTTCAATTTATCTTAGTCTTGATAATATATTTTTATGTTATTTCTATATATTTACACATATAAATTTAAAAAATATATATTTTAAGTTTATTAATTATCTAGTGTGTTGCCTCCAGACTCCAAGTTTAATTAATCCACAAAGTTGTTAAACTGAAGTAAATGCTTCAAGATTGGGAATTCATTAAGACAAAGATTCTCAAATTCATTTTAATTTTGCGAAGTGAATTAAATATATTTGCATTTGATGTCTCATCAAGTTCAAAAAGTCAAAACCAAACAAGAGAAAATAATTCCTTTTGCTGAATAAATTTTACCAAATAATCTTTTTTTATGAGCAGAAATCATTTTAGTGTTGTTTAAATTGAAGGATTTGACTACAAAACAATCAAATCTTTCTAGTTTGTATGGACTGATTACCAAGCAGAACAAACCAGAATATGTCTAAAACATATGATCAGGTTAAATATATTATACAAATTAGCTAATTTCTTCAAAACTTGTACATAACTAATGTGCGACATTTCAGCATTTAATCCAAACTTCTACCAAAATTATAAATGAAATATGCAGATGTCAAACCTTTCAGGGAACTTCATATATTTTTGTGCATATCTTAAAATCTAAGCACTTAGTCAAAATCTAGAGGTGATTTATTCATCTTACTCAAAATACGGTCGAAGATTAGCAGTGGAATTAGAATAGAAAAATTCGCTCGCTCTTGTCGAGAATCTCAAACTGCTAAGAATTAACAGAACACTGATAATAAATTAAAAGTTTAAATAACCCATTTAAGTTTATTTACGTATGGCTTTTATTATTACGTGTATTAGAGATTAAATGCACATAAACGTTACTTATCATATTGCGTCGCGTGTTATATGTTAGACGAAGCTGATGACGATCACAATTTAGCTAATTTTGTTAATCATCGCTCATATGTTTAAAATGATAAATGCATTTCTAGCATTTAAGCGCAGATGGCAGCAGCTGAAGGAAACGCTGAATTATGCAAATTTGAGGACGACGATGGGTATCCATACTTAGAAGTTAGTCGTGAGGAGAGATCAACAAATGCTGCAAAGCCATTCGATTCCAAAAAGAACTGTTGGATTCCCGATGCTGACGATGGTACAATCATTTTTCAACAGAGCAATAAATAAATTCATAGTAAAAAGACGAAATAATAGGGCAGCTTTTTTCAATAAAAAAATAAATTTGAAAAGAGCAATTTCTAATAGATCTTAAATTTTGTAGGTTTTGTTGCTGCTGAAATAAAATCATCAGCAGGCGATAATGTAACGGTGGTCACGGTGAAGGGCAATGAAATTACAGTGAAAAAGGAGGAAGTTCAAGAAATGAATCCTCCTAAATTCAGTAAAACCGATGATATGGCCAACTTGACATTCCTGAATGAAGCTTCTGTACTTAACAATTTAAAAGAGCGTTACTACTCGATGATGATATATGTATGAATTTTTTATACCGAACTATAATCGAATTGCACAAAATTATGAAAACTGAAAATTTCTTCAAAATCTTTCAAAATAATTTCTATTGTATTTAATTATGTACAATTTTTGAAAAAATTAGCTAATCTGTTATAATCTATTCAGCTTGAACACCTATTTTAGACATATTCTGGCTTGTTCTGTGTGGTAATCAATCCATACAAACGTTTGCCTATTTATAGTCCATCTATCATCAAACATTACATGGGTAAAAGACGAAACGAAATGCCACCACATTTATTCGCTGTATCCGATGAAGCATATCGAAATATTCTCATTGGTATGATTGATTATGATTTTATTTAACACAAACATGTTGAATTTAAAGTAATGAATTTAAATTTTTATCAGAAGCAAAAAAGTACAATATGACAAGATACATGTAGTAATAATTATGTCATTTCTGATAGCATTCCCGATAATGCAGTATCACGATGCAGTTCTGATATTTACATGTTTATATTTATAGCATGATCTAAACGTTCTAGTTAATGTACTACAACTCTAGGTACATACAAATTTAATTCTAGATCATGAGAATCAATCAATGCTGATTACCGGTGAGTCTGGTGCTGGTAAAACTGAAAACACCAAAAAGGTCATTACATACTTTGCTATTGTCGGTGCCACACAGCAGAAGAAAGATGAAAGCAAGAAGGGAGTATGTATTATTCCTTCAAAATTATTGAAGAAAGCATCCTTCCAGGACTATTCCACATATCTTCTAGATAGTAATAAATGTCTAGAAGAGATGTGTAAATTAATTGCCAACATGCACTTCTACTTAGCTATTCTCGATTTGAAAATGTTTGTAATCACATTATATTCTAAAAATTTTTTAACTATAATGATAGCTGAAACGTTTCTCAATCAGTCTATTATCCTACATTCAAGATATTTTTCTTCAATACTATATTCTAAAAATTTTTTATACAAAATGAGTTTTCCTTCAAAACTTAAATCCATAATTTTAATTTTTTTTTTTTTTTTAAATTTAGGGGACTCTAGAAGAACAAATCGTGCAAACTAATCCAGTATTGGAAGCTTTCGGTAAGTTAACTGTAGGAATTGGTTACTTCAATTGAAAACTTTCTTTTGTTGCTATAAATCAAAACTTAAAGCTCGATAAATTAAAAATATTATTACATTAATGACTGGTGAAAATTCAATACATAGCTTTAATAAACTTTGATTAAAGCTTTTTTAATTCTGTCTTCTCTAAAAAAAATTGCACAATTTAACTTCTTAAAAGAGGACTTTTATTGAAATTCATAACATTGTAAAGAAATGAGACAGTAAGATTTTTGAAATAAAATCATACTTATAGGTAATGCAAAAACGGTCCGAAATAACAATTCCTCACGATTCGGCAAATTCATCCGAACTCATTTCACTAAAGATGGGAAACTGGCTGGTGGTGATATTGAACACTGTGAGTTTTTAATGCTTTTAAATTGATTGGAATAGTGAAAATTCTGGTTACTGTTAGATTTAAATAAATTAGTGTCAACTTTTATATACTAATTAATTATTCTTGCAGATTTCTATCAACTTGCTTAATAATTTAAAAACTTTTGTTGAAAAAATTTCCAGATCTTTTTGAAAAGTCACGTGTTGTGCGCCAAGCTCCTGGTGAACGTAGTTATCACATTTATTATCAACTTATGTCCGGTTTTCATCCGAAAATAAGAGGTTAGTAATAAGGTAATGTTAGTCTGCAAAAAACTAAATATTTGAAATGTAACCATTATGGTTTTCTATTCTGGTGAAATAATTGGACGAAATATTAATTTGCAGAAGAACTACGTTTGACTAACGATATTAAATATTATCACTTCTGTTCCCAAGCAGAACTAACCATCGATGGTGTAGATGATAAAGAAGAAATGAAAATCACGCAGGTATAATGTTTTTCTTTTTTGGAAAACTTAGTTAAATTTCAAATTAAAGAAGGTTAGAACTTTTAATTCCGAACTTTTATTATATTGTTCCAGGAAGCATTTGATATTATGGGCTTCGAGGATCATGAGACTCATGACCTGTACAGCAATGTGGCTGGCATTATGCATATGGGTGAAATGAAATTTAAGCAACGACCACGTGAAGAGCAAGCAGAACCAGATGGAGAGGAAGGTTCGATGATTTTTCATTTCTTCTCATTCTGATCTGTCATATATAGTAGTAAGTATGGTTGTTTTCATATATAGTAGTAAGTATGCGATAATTGAAGAGCTAGAATACCTCAAGTAAACAATGAAACATTTTTATAGTTGCCAAGTTTTAGATGCAAAGAATGCTGGTTTTTGTTTTGGCGTTGATTATGAAGAATTCCTAAAAGCTTTAACAAAGCCACGTGTTCGTGTCGGCACAGAATGGGTTAATAAAGGCCAGAACTTAGAACAGGTACGTTTCATTAATGAAAACTTAAGGAAAGAATTTCCATTACCTGAATTTTTAGTTTGAATTAATTATATTTTCAAATTTCTAAAGAAGTGATCTGTACTTATGAATCATAAGAAATAAGAGATTTCCAGGTGCATTGGGCTGTAGATGGCCTTGGTAAAGCTATCTATTCGAGAATGTTCAAATGGCTTATCGATAGATGTAACAAAACACTTGATCAAAATAAAGAAAATCGAAAATATTTTATCGGTGTCTTGGATATCGCTGGTTTTGAGATTTTCGATGTAAATTTTTTACCTTTGTAATTTGAAAATTTGAATATTCAAAAAAGTTCCGCATGTTAAGTTCTTTACTTTTAGAAAAGCATCATTTCGAAAGCAAATAAAATGCATGATTAAGATGTATTCTAAAAAATTTTATGCTGAAAAACAAAATGAATTTCCGAAAATTACAAATAAAATTACATGTGCAAAATTTGCAGTTTAATTCGTTCGAGCAGTTATGGATCAATTTCGTAAACGAACGACTACAACAGTTCTTCAACCATCATATGTTCGTTCTTGAGCAAGAAGAATACAAACGTGAAGGGATCGCTTGGACTTTCATTGATTTTGGTCTCGATTTACAAGCTTGTATCGAACTGATTGAGAAAGTAATTACATACTTTGTATGTCCTAGGATAAAAAATCTAATAGAAACTGAATCAGAAGTTAATAGACTTAAATTATTTATATTCTTCCAGAAGCATATGAAGTTAATTGGAATAGAAAATAGTCCTGTAAATGGTTAAAATTTTCAGCCTTTGGGTATCATTTCGATGTTGGACGAAGAATGCATCGTGCCAAAAGCGACCGATATGACATTGGTGCAAAAATTGAATGACCAGCACCTTGGTAAACATCCCAACTTCCAGAAACCCCGACCACCGAAAGGAAAACAAGCCGAAGCTCATTTTGCTATTGTTCATTACGCCGGCACCGTATGTTTCCGTAAATTTTCTTATTTCTTTTACGAATTTAAGCTTTTGAAAAAAGCAAGGAAGGATTATGAAGTTACTCCAATGAGACAAAACTAGAGGGAAAATCTACTCCAGCAAGGTAGAACTTGAGGAATACAAAAAATGATGAACTAATAGGAGATCGAACTGGTGATGAACATAAGAACTAGTCCTTCATTTAACTAAAATTTCCTTTTATTTGAAATTTTGAAATTAGATCATTAGATAAATAAGGGAAATTTTTAAATAAATATCAAAATTTTAAACTTGCCCATTAGTTTCACTCAATACACACATCTTCTAACTCTGATCAATTTCAAATTGTGTTCCACATGGAAAGAAATATAGGTGCGATACAATGCTACAAACTTTTTGGAGAAGAATAAAGATCCACTGAATGATTCGGCTGTTGCTGTGTTGAAGCATTGCAAAGACAACCAGTTACTCCTAGATATCTGGGCTGATTATCAAACTCAGGAAGAAGCAGCAGAAGCCGCTAAAGCTGGCATTGGTGCGTCAAATGTTTTAGTCCGACAACTACTAACAGCTGGTTTGTAAAGCCTGGAGAGATTTAAAGAGGAAGTAATATAAGTGGGAATTTTCTGTTTAATTTTAACTCCAATGAGAAAGAGATCTTTTCTGTTTTCATAAAGAAATCTCTTGTTACTGAAAAGGTAAAACGTAGACAAAACGATTTAAGCTAATTGCTAACCTGAAGAGAGTGTTGGTGCATATTATAGAATGAGAATGAACGAGTTTTTCAATTTTGCTAATATAAATTAACAATGAAATAAATGATTGAAAAGAAATGGTTCATTGAAAATTCTGGTACTTTTAACATCATGAAGTTACTAGTATGGATTCCATACTAAATAACCAAATCAGATCAATAAATTAAGCTTTTTATGACCTGTTAAACTTTTTATGATCTGTTTAGAAAGCGGACGTAAGAAGGGTAAATCGTCATCATTTATGACTGTCTCCATGATGTATCGAGAATCACTGAACAACTTAATGACTATGCTGTATCAAACACATCCGCACTTCATCCGTTGTATTATACCAAACGAGAAAAAAGCTAGCGGTAAATAATTTGTTCATGAATGAAAAAGATAAACAAAACAACATCTGCGATCATCATTAATTCTTATTGTAAAGAACTTAAAAGATTCATTTATATGAGGATTTATTGGAATTCAGAATAAAAATAATTGTGCCATTTATTTCAAAAGATATTAATGATTAGCTGGTTCATTATGAATAATAATTTCTAGGGGTTATTGATTCGGCACTGGTGTTAAATCAATTGACCTGTAACGGTGTATTAGAGGGTATTCGAATTTGTCGTAAAGGTTATCCGAATAGGATGGTCTATGAAGACTTCAAACATCGTTATGCTATCATTGCCGCTGAAGCAGCAAAGAATTCGGATGACAAGGCTGCATCTACCGCTATCACTGATTTCTTGTGTAATAATGGTAAACTGAGCGATGACGAATTTAAAATGGGTTCAACGAAGATTTTCTTCAAAGGCGGTATTCTGGCTCGTCTTGAAGATTTGCGTGACGAGGCATTACGTGCCGTAATGACGAACTTTCAGTCACATATTCGAGGTTTCTTGGGTTTAACTGATAAGAAACGTCGTCTGCACCAGAAGTCAGGTGATTTAATTTGCTTTTTTGAATATTTAATTTTAAAATAGGCTTGATTATTTATTCTTAAAGCTCATTTTTTAATTTTATTTGAATTTTGTGGAGTTTTCAAATTCTGTTTCAGAATTTTGATAATTTTCTATTGTCATTTCTTAGATTTCGCAGTTAGCTTGATTACTTTTCATCAAAAAATCATACATTAGAAGTCTTAATTTTCTAAATTCTTTTTTTTTCTCCAGCAAAAATATAATACCACTTTGATACATTTTGTAGCTCGAAATAAGTCACAAAATGTTAGAGAGAAGCAATATCTCAGGTGTGTTGATGATACAACGTAACATTCGCATATGGTGTCTGGTGCGCACTTGGGATTGGTTCAAGTTGTACGGTCGGGTGAAGCCAATGTTGAAGGCTGGCAAAGAGTTGGAAGAAATGGATAAATTGAGCGATAAAATTAAAGGTTTGGAAGAAAAACTGCTGAGAGAGGAAGGAAACAGAAGAGAATTAGAAGCACAGGTGAATCATATCACATTCAACAGCATCTTTATAAGCTTGGCTCTAATGTAGGAACGTTTTATCATAATGCATTGTAAATATCAGCATTCTATTATCATGGCAATTATAGTTTGTTATCATCTTCAGTATTAATAATTATCAGAAGGCTACTATTATCCTTATCAGTGTTGTTGCTGCTTATCAGGTTGGTTATTATTATCTCAGTATCGGATTTATTTTAGGACTATTTTAGGGTCAATAAGATAGCTTAAAATATCTCACTAAAAAATGATTTATATCAATACAATGAAAAACAAAACAGAGCTTTCTATATATATTTTTAAAAAGAGTGCAATTTTTAAAGTGATAATGCTGAAAAAAAAAAAAAAAAACGTAGCAAAAAGAACATAAACTCGAAGAGAGGAATAAAACATTAAAATGTGAGATGTGTAATATTTCAAAATAAATACATTCAGGATGATATACTTAAGAAGATTTCATTTTTGGGTGCTTAGACTCTGTCTCTTTTCAAATGTTTGTTGTCTGCCATTCAGAAGAAAATAAAATTCCATTGAATTTTTATTTCATTTGAAGCCATTAATTTGTATATTTTTTCTGGATTAAAAAGCATTATTATATCAGAAAGTTGTATCTTCGAAAAACGGAAATATTGTAAAACGATTTCATAAGTTTTCCATTAGGTCAAAGTATACAAAATGAATTTCAATGTTAGATGCAGCAATACTTCGTTAGCAATAACCGCTTTCTACTGACTTTCACTCAAAATTTTTTGTTTAGGAATCCTTTTAAAATAATAATAATGGAGGAAGAGAATATTCAGAAAAAGGTCAGTATGATTAGAAAGAAATTAAAATAATAATAATAAGAGAAAGAGGTAACATTTTAGGTTGCTGACCTGACCCACGAGAAAGATCAATTATTTGCAAATTTGGAGAAAGAAAAATCGCATTCAGCTGAGGCTGAAGGACGGATTCAAAAGCTAAATGAAATAAAAGCGGACATGGAACGACAACTGGAGGAATTAAACGATCGTGTTGCAGAGATGGAAGACCGAAATGAAACTTTAAATCGGGCTAAAAAGAAGAGTGAACAGGAAGTCAGTGATTTAAAAAGGAAGAATCAGGTATTAAACTTAGCCATTTCAAAGCAACTAAGATTATTTTTTTTTTAGAATTTTTTTTCACATGCAAAATCAATAATTTGATGAAAAATAAAACTTCGAATGAATAAGTTTAGGAACTGGAAATGGCATTACGAAAAGCTGAAAGTGAAAAGCAATCTCGTGAACAGAACATTCGTTTATTGCAAGGAGAAATGGCAAGTCAGGATGAAGCTGTTGCTCGTGTCAACAAGGAAAAGAAACAACAGGAAGAGGTGACAATTAACATTTTTATTTTTGAATTAGGGAAAGGATTTGAAACTGCCAAAGCATAGTTGTTGTTAACAAAAAAAAGGAAAAGGAAAAACCAAACTAGAAATGGTGTGAGTTTTGAATTGTGAGTAGTTTTTAGTGTTTTTTTATTTATTCTAATTTGTATACTTTCTTTTGTTTTTTTCTTGTCCTTTTTTTTGCATTTTTTTTTTTCATTTTTTTGCTTAACTTCTGCAACAGACTATTTCAAATTCGTCGTTGCATTTTAAAACAAATAAAATTTTCTTTGAATTCGTACTATAATTAACTTACAGATGAACAGGAAATTAATGGAAGACTTGCAAGTTGAAGAAGATAAAGTCAATCACATGGAAAGGCTTAAGACAAAAATCGAGCAGCAATTGGATGATGTTAGTTGTCTTTACCGTATAGAAATGAACAAACTAATTAATTGCAGTTTAAGTTAAAACCGATTTATCTGTTGAGTCATTGATTTCTAGTCGTATGAGTAAAGCATTATCAATAAAACGCTTAACTATTTTTCTAACTCCAATTATAATCAAATTTAGTTTATTTCAGATGGAAGAAAAACTTGAACGTGAAAAGCGTATGCGCCTGGATTTAGAAAAAGCTAAAAGAAAAGTGGAAGGTGAATTGAAGGTGGCTCAAGAGAATATGGATGAAATCACAAAACAAAAACATGACATTGAACAAATTCTAAGGAGGTAAAAATAGATGACCAAAAAAATGAGGCAAAAGTGTGATTGGACGATTGCCATCGAAATACGTTAAAGTTGCCTTGGTGAAAGTTTATATTATGCAATGAAAGAGGACGAAGTTAAAAAAGAACTGCTTTTTTTTTCCTCTTTCTTTGATTTCTATTTAAATTTATGGCATTTTAATTGAAGGAAAGATGCAGACTTGATAGCTACAGTTGGTAAGCTCGATGGTGAGCAATCGGCAGTTAACAAGCTTCAGAAACAAATCAAGGATCTGGAAGGCCGGTAATAGTTAATCATATGATTACATTTTGGTTAGTACTGGAAATTTTTGAAATTGTTTTACTTGGAGTGCAAATTTAAATGAATTTTCTGGAAATTAACATGTTTTGTTTTAGTATTGCTGAACTTGAAGAAGACTTGGAGCAAGAACGGCAATCACGTGGTAAATTAGATCGTGCAAAAGGAGACCTACAACGTGAGCTGGATGAAATAACGCAACGTCTAGATGAACAAGGTGGTGCTACTGCGGCGCAAATAGAACTGAACAAAAAACGTGAAGCTGAAATGGCCAAATTGAAGAGAGATTTGGAAGTATGGGGGTTTATTCCTTTTTGGATTATTTGGTAAAATCTATCTAAATGAGTATTAATATTTGATGTTGTGGCTGAGACTGCTCAGTCCATTCATTATTCCTCTCGCTTAAAAGTCATCACCGTTTCAGGAAAATAATATGAATCATGAGCTGCAAATTTCTGTTTTGCGTAAAAAGCACAGTGATGCCGTTGCGGAACTCAGTGATCAATTAGAGCAGCTGCAAAAGTTGAAAGCCAAATTAGACAAAGATAAAGCGCAGATGCTTCGAGATCTGGAAGAAGCAAACGCAAATGCTGATGCTGAGAGTAGACAGAAACAGGAATTCGAGAAACATTGCAAACTTTTGGAAATGCAATATTCGGAGCTTCAAACAAAAGCTGACGAGCAGGTAGTGAAAGTTGAAATCCTTTCAGTAGTTCCTAGAAAAAAAAAAGCCGAAGTAAGCAATTATATGGCATGTCACAAAGGAGACAGAATTAAGAAGCATAGTGAAAAGATGCTATCTTTTTCTGGAGAAAACAATGGCTGGGAAAAATATATGATATCATAATAATTTATGTTGAATCATTTTTTTTAACTTTCTTCTTTCTTCAAAAAGAAAGTGCCTTTTTTGTTTTTTATTGCCATTGTCATTTCGTAAGTTACTACAATTTTTTAGACACGTCTAATTAACGATTTCACGGCGTTAAAGAACAGGCTATCGAATGAGAATAACGATTTGTCGCGACAATTAGAGGACCTTGAGAACCAGGTATTTCAGTGTGACTATTTGACATACTTTAATTTTGACTTGAGTTTAACAAGCCATTTTTTGTTAATAATTTAATCAAAATAAGGAATATAATTTTTAAAATAATTCCTTCTAGCACCAGAAAGAGATAACTAATTTAGATTTTTGATGAAAACTTGACTTTGATAGATTAATGGACTTCATCGATTGAAAGCGCAACTTTTGAGCCAGTTGGAAGAAGCAAAACGTGTGGCTGAGGAAGAATCAAGGTCATTTGCATCTGTATTTTTATATAACTGAAGGAATTCTCAAATTCATTTATAAATCTGAAATTTCATTTGTTTTATATTTTTCGAATTTTTTTCAAAATTTCATAACTGGAATTTAAATATACTTTAGAGAACGACAAAATCTGACAGCCCAGGTGAAAAATTTGGAGCATCAGAATGATAATCTCCGCATTCACGCTGATGAAGAATCTGAGGTTGTATAAGACACTTTTAACCTGTATATATTTATTTCAAAACTTTTTAAATTTACGTAATCATTTATGGCTTCTTCACAGCCTTTATTTATAGTTATTTAGGGTAAAGCAGAATGCCTGCGCCAAATGAGTAAGCTGAACGCTGAAATTCAACAGTGGAAGGCGCGATTTGAGGGTGAAGGGCTGGCCAAAATGGAAGAAATTGAAGAAGCTAAGTAAAGTTTTAAAATTGTTGAACTCACTAAATTTTTATTCAAAAGTTTTGGTCATTTTCAACAGCTAAACAGAGCACCCAGCTGTTTTTTTTTTTTTTTTTTTTCACAAAACTTTTAAAATTTGAAATTAAGGCGTAAACTTATGGAAAAAGTACAAGATCTTACGGATGTAAATGAAGCAGCCAATGCGAAGATTATGTCTTTAGAAAAGACTCGGCACAAGCTGATGGGCGATTTAGATGATGCTCAGGTAATTTTTGCGCTCATTTGGTGGATTCCTCATACTATATCTTCTGCAAAAGTTACTGATAATTATGAGACATATAGAAATTGTGTTAACACATTGTTAAAATATTTGTGTCTTTAAAAGTTGAAGCACAAAAAACTTTCTTAAATAAAAAACACAAAATTTAGAAATTATTTCCTTGAAATAATACAAAATTCAGGTTGATGTTGAGCGGGCAGCAGCCTATGTAGGAGCCTTAGAAAAAAAACAAAGAGCATTCGATCGTATAGTCGAAGAATGGAAAAAAAAGTGTGATGATTTGGCAGCTGAGCTTGAAGGAGCGCAACGGGACAACCGTAATCTCTCTACCGAGTTATTCAGAGCCAAGAGTGCCCAGGATGAATTGCTTGAAGTAAATATTCTTATTTTCTAGCATAAAAAATATTAAATACAAAAAAGTTTTAAATGAATAATGTGTTTAAAAAAATGTACATTACATTCCAACACAAATATACTTAGAGAAAGTGAAATATGAATTAATTATATGAATTAAAAAAGGATCAAATTATTACAGCAAATAGAAAGTTTACGCCGAGAAAACAAATCATTGTCATTAGAAATCAAGGATTTAACTGATCAACTTACCGAAGGTGGACGATCGGTACATGAACTGCAGAAAATGGTGCGTCGTCTCGAAGTCGAAAAGGAAGAACTGCAGAAAGCTCTGGATGATGCCGAATCTGCTCTGGAAGCTGAAGAAGCTAAAGTTTTGCGGGCACAGGTAACTTTTTTACCTCAAAAGAAAATACAGTAGTCAAAATGTGATAATCAGTTTCGAATTCTGAAAACTTTAGGATGTTGTTTTTGGACGAGGAAAGCTGATTACTTGATGTTCTTTTATAATTTGTTTATAGGTGGAGGTGTCGCAAGTACGTGCTGAAATCGAAAAGAGAATTCAAGAGAAGGAAGAAGAATTCGAGAACACTCGTAAGAATCATCAGCGAGCTCTTGAAAGCATGCAAGCAACTCTTGAAGCGGAAATGAAAGCTAAACAAGAGGCATTGCGCATCAAGAAGAAACTTGAGCAAGATATCAATGTCAGTAACTTATATCCTTTGCATGACCGAATTCACTATGATTACTAGCCTTAAGGGCAGTATAATAGGCTTCAAGTCGATTTCAAATAGATTTCACCCTAAAATATTTTTTTTTTTTCAGGAACTTGAAGTAGCTCTTGACCATGCCAACAAGGCGAATGCAGATGCGCAAAAGACAATAAAGCGATATCAGGAGCAGATCCGAGAATTGCAGATGCAGATTGAAGATGAACAAAGACAAAAAGACGATCTTGCGTAAATTTACCCTTTATTTTGCCCTTAATTTTATAACTGATTACACTTAAGTTCAGAATTAAAATAGTAAGTTAAAAAGAAATAGGAAATAGTCAATTTTTCTATTATAATTTTATTTTCAGGGAACAGTTATCTAACACACAAAAGAGAGCAGCTATTCTGCAAGCCGAAAAAGATGAGCTTGCTAATCAAGCTGAAATGGTAGGTTGTGTCATTTATAAGTTTAAGATCATCAAGTTCAAGAAAGGAGGAGGCATAACTCTGAGATGATTACAGGCTGAACGTGCTCGTCGCGCAGCTGAACAGGATGCTATTGAATTACGTGAAACAGTGAACGATTTGACAAACCAAGTTAATGCAATTAACAACACGAGGAGAAAGTTGGAGTCTGAGTTACAGACTGTTCACGTATGTTTACATCTTTTGCCACCTTTTATTTAAAAAATGAAATACCTGTTTAAACATGATCTAAATGAATAAGATTTTAATCTTTTTTGAGAAGACTGCATGAAATAAAAAGTTGGTTACTTTTTTCGGAATTCTAGTCTTCTTGGAGAATTGAGAATTTCAGGTGGAATTAGACGACGTGACGTCACAGCTTAAGAATACCGACGAAATGCTAAAGCAAGCTTCCGCAGATGCAGCACGACTTGCGGAAGAGCTACGCCAAGAACAGGAGCATTCGGTGCACGTAGAAAGAATGCGTCGCGCACTCGAAGTACAAATCAAAGAGATGCAGGTTACATTTTGGTACAAAATGGAGAATTTATAGTGACAATGTAAAGCTTATAAGTTTGGAATTTGGTGAAATAAAATTATTTTTTTTACAAAGTGTCGCTTATTTTTCTTGAAACGATTATTTTTTCAATTTTCAGGTACGTTTGGATGAAGCGGAGCAGGCCGCACTGCGTAGTGGACAAAAAATCATCGCTAAATTGGAGATGCGCATTCGGGAATTGGAGCAGGAGTTAGATGGTGAGCAGAGACGAAGCTCAGACTATGAAAAGGAATTGAAAAAGGGAGATAGGCGTATCAAAGAATTGCAATTCCAGGTAACTGTAGATTGAAATGTTGAGTTCTTTATATTAGACTGAGCAAAATTTCTTTTTTTTCTTTTTGCGAATTTTTATTTGTACGTTGTAGTGTGAAGAAGATAGAAAGAACAATGATCGATTAACGGAACTAGTCGATAAATTGCAAATCAAAATAAAGATCTACAAACGGCAGGTTGAAGAAGCGGTAGGTTAAATTCTTCTCTTTTTAGAATATGTAAGCTGCAAAAAGTTTAAAAAGGTTTTTTTTTTTCACAGGACTTAAAAAACAAACGAAAATTAGAAAAAAAATTAGATTAGGCTATCAGTCATCAATAATCAGAAAAGAAACTTTTGATATCAAAAATTTAATGTAATCTTACAGATCGCAAATCTGGGGTCGTCCATTAATTTGTTCAGTATTTGTAATTTTTGAATCCATAATTCATTCCAGGAAGAAGTAGCTGCAATTAATCTAGGCAAATACCGACAATTGCAAACACAACTTGATGATGCTAACGAACGGGCAGATATCGCGGAAAATTCATTGGCAAAGCTTCGTTCAAGGAATCGAGCTTCAACGATTGCTCCACTTGCTCTAAGTGCTAGTGCAAGCTTTATCCGGGTACCATCTCAATCAGATCTGGCACAATGAAATGAAGAATAGTTATATACTTTGAAGCTCTAAAACTACAAATTTGCTCATGTCCTTGGTTCCATTTATTTATGCCTTTTTTCAATTGTGCATAAATTATCCGTTTGCTGACGATTATCATTTGCTTAGGTTATTAATGGGCATAATAATATTGATTGATCCAAATTTTGTTTTTACTTCTTTTTTTCACCGTTTTTTTTCTTTATACATTGATTATTTTATGAATTTTAATTGTTATATAACTTATAGCTTTGTGCAGATCTAAAGTAATTCTTATATAGCATCACGTTTAATTGCATTGCATTCATGGCGACATAAACATTGATCTAGATTATATTCGGATGACTCAGGTGTAGATCCGTCTTCTACTTCGGTGAAATGCTATTTTATACAAAGCATTTCAAAAGTATTTTATATAAAGTATTTTATACAAAGTATTTTATACAGTTGATCTTTTTCAGAACCATTTATTAGTAATAAATATATGAATAAAGGATTCCAGAATCATTTATTCATATATTGCTATCACCTCTCTTCCACAAATCTTTTAGATTTCAAAGATAATTGAGAATTATTTTCTTTCTGAAAAGTGCCTTTGTGTCTTTTCTTCTTTTGTCACTAAATTTAACAAAAGCATTTCCATGAAACATTTTGGGTCTAGCTTCTGAATTATCACAACCCGAACTTTAGCATGCAATCGGACTTGAAGGTTATCCCTCACCTTAGAATGTGTAAACTTTCACAGATGTCCTCAATGTCCTCATCTTTTCTTTCGCTTACGAACGGTATGCATTATGATCTTTTAGCAGCATAACATCTTTATGGCGAAATGTATATTTTTTTGTAATAAAAGTGAAACGAGACGACAGTGTCATTGTTTTCTTCTAAATATGTGATTTTTATTCACTGTATCCTTGGCATTCGATCATTCGACTTCTTCCAATTTTATATAATTTGTTTCAGTATTTTTTTGGGAAAGTTATATACATGCTATCGATAAATAAAAATATGAAAGGAAAATATTTATTCTTTTCTTGTAGAATAAAATTAATGTAGAAATCTCTACACGTTTAATGCACAACCTTGTAAGAAACAATCTTATAACCTATGCATACTGATTGTGCTGTTTTACATATTTTCATAAAAATTAATAGTAGAATGTATTGAAGAGAATAGAAACTGAATGATGGTATTCATAGCAAAAAGCAAGAAATTATACGAGATGTCCTGAAAGGAAATGATTTACCTGCTTAAAGTGGTAAGGTGAAGATTGACAGTCTAGAAAAGATGGAAGAATACTTTTTGCACAGAGACTCAAGGAAATTTCTCCCAATGTTCGTATTACAAATGCTCGTCTCTTAAATATCTAAATTAATAAATTATTGTCGTTTCAGTTTCACTTTTAGTGATAATCACTGCCTTGCACTTTCTTGCCTACATTCATACCTTTTTATGTCTTATTTGCTTGAAGTTTTTTCTGCTATTAACTTCATTTTACAAAATGCTTGTCTCTTAAATTTACTCTTTATGATTTACTATTATTTTGGTTTGGTAAGTTTACTCTTCCAAACTCCTAGCACCTTAGTGTAGTATTTTATTTCAGCACAAAGTTTAAAGTTGGACTTACTCTGCACAAGCTCCTTGCAATTTAGCTTAGTATTTTTTCTCAAATCCAATCGTTTACATATTTGCTAAGATTTGTGACTTTGGAAGCAATAGTGATAGCGATTTATGTAAATAATTAATGAAACGATATTGCAATGTTTGCATAACCAATAAATTATAAGTGCAAGGCCATATACGCTGTGACCAAAACCTTTTAATAACTTTTTTAACTGTAATGGACGGTTGTGTTGCAGGCGCTTTTGGTATATCACTCGTCGTAGATGCGTTATGTTCACATTCTCGTGGTATTAACAGACGTGCACTAACACTCTCCCTAATGGTTCTTTCATACGCCACCCTTATTTTAAGCTCTTCAGATGGTAATATCTTTATTTAGGTTCAAATTTGAATTTTTCAACGAAAACTCAGTCTTTTAAAGTTTTACAAGTAGATATTTAGAAAAAAGACAGTGTTCATTTAACTTGTGATGAAATTATCAACTGACTAATGAATCTATCAAAGCTATGACTTATCGAACACGGGTTCAATCTCTACCTACCTGAAGTTTAGACATCTGCTTTTTCCAAGTTTCACAGAAGTATGAAATTTGTCAAAAGATCTTTTTTCTTACTATCTTTGGAATTCCTGCTGATCGCAATTATTCAAATACTCTGTAATGAACATGTCAGTTTCTAACGTTTGAATTGATCACTCTATAAAAACAGGTGGCAGATTCTCCATTTCAGAAGCAAATTCATTATTTATTAGAATAAATACCACTTCCATGGAAACAACTACTTTTACGGAATATGCTCCTCATTTATATTACGGTAACACTTCACTGAATTCTAATACTACTAAATATGATTCAATAATTTGCTATAATAATTAACCAAAATTGTGTGTAGAACAAAAATGAAAGTGTCTATTTTATTACAGCCACAACTACCATCGAACCAGAAACTACTATAGTTACAGGTACGGCTTTTCAGTTTAAATAATGATTCAACAGAAGTCACAAAATCAGGAAATAACAAAATACTGAATATAATTGCCGAAAATTTCAAACGGAAGAAATCAGTCTTAACTTAAACTGACCCATACTTGAATGATCTAAAGTAACTTATCATCCGATTGATCAAATGATCAAATGACAAATGATTTTGTAATTCTTTCTTCACTTTCATTTACGTTGTTTCCACTTATCTTATTTTTAATTCAGAATTTCGGAAAAAAAGAGTAAATAATGAAATAATGAAAAGAATTGAATTCAGAATTTTCAGAAAATTCAGAAAGTGAATCTCATCAAAAGTTTATTATATCTGAATCAACTCAAACATTATTAGCATCAACCATTGGTACTTTCTTTTTGTCTCATTCTTTTTTAAAGATTTAATTCCAATTCACTACTATTTTTTGCATGAATACAAATCATAAAGTCTATTTCATGGTTAATTCATGAAAGTGTTTATTGGTAATTGGTCACAATATTTTATACAGAAGTATGCACTTATTATTTAATAGTTCCGATTGTCGATATTCCTATAAGATGTTCAACACAAAAATCGTTTAGGGAGGAGGCATATATCTGGTTATATCAAGAATTCTTCATTTTCAAATACTCAAATGATGAAAATAGCTAGGAAGAACGAAATGCACAAAAATGGTCAATCATCTAATTATTTCCTCATAACATTTTTGAACTTAAATCAAAATGAAAGCTTTTTGAGCTTAAATTTCTATACAGTTAGTGTTTCTGAACTTTGAAGTGTAATAATTTTTAAAAAATAACAGCAATATTTTATGAGAATTCTCTTTTTTTTTTTCATTAAAGTAAGCTATTTTTGTGATAGCATTTTGCTCCCGTGATAGTACTTCGGAAAGTACTTTCGATTTCCGGTAAAGTTAGTCAATTACATAGGCCTTTTTCAGGAAGAACATATCTATATATACTTGTAATCATTTGCATTGCTTGCGGCCTTGTCAGCATGACAATATTTTCACTTCTATATTTTCATTTCATTTTACCATCACCATGAGAAATGCCATAAGTAAAGATAAGCTGATTACATCGAAAGTTACTAACACTTTGGTGGAAAACTCGAAACTTTTTGCATAGTTTGATGCTCACGAAAATGGTAATTTAGTCAGAAAGACTGCTCTTAATATTAGATTCCAGATATTTTTATCAGCTTACTTTTATGTTCCGGATATCACTTATGTACCAGAAATTGTTATATAAGACTAACTATCAAATGAATGAGATACATCAAAAGGAATATGTTATCTCAAGAAATGATGAAAATGAAAGATTATTGTAGTATTTGCTAAGTTTTTTACATATATGATAACAGAATTGTTTGCAGCATTTGTTAAAATCTTTTTGTAGATCGAGAAGTTTTTGAAGTCTCGGGAATAAGTAAATATATTGTCGTCGTTGCTACTTAGAGAATTACTTATCAGTTTATTATTATTTGAAACTAAAGATAATTTAGCGATTTTACGTTTCACATTCAAATGCCAACATAATCAATGCACACGTAATAAACTTTAGATTCAATCAAATATTTTTGCTATACTATAAAATAATGTACAAGATTTCAAATAAAATTTGTTAGAAATATGCTAGGAATTTCACACATTGATTTCGATATTAGCAAAGAATTTTCTTAAGCCAACAATCAGCCCAACGCGTTTCACATGAATTGAACAGTAATACGTAACATTTGTTGCAAAACTGTTTTTCACCTCATTTTTATTCTTTATTGTGAAAGGTTTTAAAGAAGTGAAATGTCAACTTTCGGAGGGAGTATAGTATAGAACATAGAAGCAAAATATCCTGTGATCTGCTTTTCGATATTAGCAAAGAATTTTGATTGAAGGGACCCACCAAAGACTGAGGTAAATGCATTATTGGATGGGAAAACCAATGCGAGATTGGTAAGCCCTATTGCAGAAGATGCTAGTAAGGTTAATGAGAGATTTTTGTTCATGAAACAAGCTTTATTCTCGAATACAGTGACAGCTGAAGATGGTACCTGGCCATGGGCACTGACAGTTCTCAAGACTATGAGATTGTTTCAGGGAATCCCTTGCATTTCTTTTTGAATAGATCTATTGTGGCAGACAATAGCAAATTATACATAAAGCAAAGCTTTAGCAAAAACAATAATCCTTTATTCTGAAGAAGTAATTTATTCAGCGCAACTGCGCATTTTAATATTCGCTTGTTCGTGGAGGGTATTGGTCAAATGCTTGGTGCAGTGAATATTTAGGATAGTGTGGATTTGTTTCGCCGGTATATGCCATTTTTTTGTTTGAATTTAAAACATTTTTGATAAATTTTTGGATTTTGGAGATTCGCTGTTTTCTTTAATTGAAGAACATTAATTAGAACTACCAACAACAATACTGTAAGTGAATGAATTTATGTAATTGATTACTAGGTCAAATGTGGTTTTTTTATGCATTGATCATTTATCAGGTGAATAAAATGGTTTTTAATCGTAAGATGGATGCTTAAGTTTAGCTTAAGAATTCTTGTGATTGTAAGCAATTATGCCAATAAGTAATTTTGAATCAAATCATAGTTTTTTAAAATGTTATGTTGTGGTTTTAACAACTAAATCAATTTTGGTAAGAAAAAAGAATTGTATCTAATACTTATATTTATTTAATAATCTTTGAGTAAAAAGCTGAGTAGAGTGAAAGTTGCAGTGAAGTTCATAATTCCTGAAAGTTCATTAATCTGTTTCACCTGGTTGCACAGATATTATAATACTCCATCAATGTTTTCTTTGAAACGTCAGTATCAACAGTATCTATTTGAGTTATTTGTCATCTTAAGTCAATTATAGCTAACAGGGATTGAATTTAATAATCAACATTGATTTAAAAAAGAAAAATAATGATAATTCATCTGGTACGCCCCAAGAAAAAGGAAGCCATACGGGTTGTAAAAAATATGTCATTAAACTGATAACTTTCAAAGTTTAGAGAAAATTAAAGTGGTTGCATAAAATAATAAGATATGTTAGCACTTTTAATCCAGTAAAAATAGGCTTTACTTAAATAATCATTAAAATTATGTCTATTATCTGAAAATAAATTTTGAGGAAAAAGAGTGAACTGAATCGTAAAAAATAGAAATACATAAAAACACATTCACTCCAACAGCTATGCAAATGTTATTGACAAATGATTGGATAATATAATGTTTACAACGTACCATTTAGGCATTTAGTTCGTCTATCGCCTTTTTCTTTATTAAAAAAACAAAAGTTTTACATTTTATAAGTGAGGATTGTATCGCTGGTTGAGTGTAGTAGGACTGAATTAGTTTCCGAACAAAAAATTATTAAATTATAGAAACAGAATTAAGTTTAACTTACCGTTTAATTGATTATAAAAAATTACGAATTCATTAAGGATTTGTTCAAATACTATTGTCATCAATTTACTCACGTCAGCGTGTTATTCTAACTGCTCTTTTTTATATTTTGCTAAATTTAAAATTTAATGATTTTATAGAAAGTTAAGATGACAATTTCATATAATATGGATGTTGCATCCGCATCATCGTTTAATTTTTTCCGTTTAATATTTCGGTGGAAGGGTAGCATTTGGAAGTTGTGCCTCAAGGAACTTTGCATTTGGACATTGGTTTTTCTGATTGTAACATTCATTTATCGGTCATCTTTTTTTTTAACTTACAGCCAAAAAGTGTTCGTTAATTTCTTTGATGTTCAATTTTTCCCCTTTTTTGTTATTTATTATTTTCCAATAATTTGCTAAATATTTTTTTATGATGCATTTTTTAATTTGATAGAAACTCTAACATTATTTAGTAAGTGAAAATCAGTTGACTAATCAATTGATTAATTAATGCTAAAAATGAATAAGTATGCATTTTGAGAAGATGGTGAGATTGTTAAAAAATATTTAAACTGCAAAAAAAATCGTATTTATATTTAATAATTAATAATTTATACTTCATGAATATATTTTTATAGAAATGAATAAGAGAATAATCGATTAATGAATGAAATATTTAGAATATTTGAAAAGCTCGCAAATTATTTCGATACTCATCTTAATTATATCCCACTGACATTTATGCTTGGCTTCTTTGTTCAGACTGTCGTAAAACGTTGGTCGGTACTGTTCGAAAACATGGGCTATATCGAAAGGTCATTTTAAATTTAGTCAAATTTGTTTCCAATAACCGATTATATATATTTTTTTGTAAATAAATAATTGCTTGGAAAGTAAACCAATATATAATTTTTTTTTTTTAAACTTTATATAATTTTTTAAATAAACGGTACATAAATTTGTGATGAACATATGTTTAAAAAATTGCTTATTCTTTTGATAATCTTACAAATTAAAAGTATAAAATAATTGTAGAAAGTCAATTTCTTCCCTCGATTCAAAATTCACAGCTACAGAATTTTTTTATTTTAATTACTAGTATGTATTCCAAACTTTCAGCACATCTATGTATATTGGCGGATATGTAAATGGTATAGATGATGAATCTCGGTTATTACGCCGAACCATGGCACGCTATCTGTGTTTAACACAATTACTTATCTATAGAGATATTAGCATACGTGTACGGAAACGTTTTCCAACTTATGATAGCATCATTAAAACAGGTTAACTAATTCTCGTCATCATTATTATCATTTTCTGTATCAAACAATTAAGTGAAAAAGAATTATTTCTCTTTTATAGCGTTTTATTTGCATTTAAAGAATTTTTTTTAGGATTTATGTCAGAAAATGAATACGAAATATTGAAATCAACTCAACCGGATTTTGATAAATATTGGGTACCTATCAACTGGATTTATGCACTTATTTTTCGTGGACGTAAAAGTGGTAAAATTATAAGCGATGCAATCGCCTGTAAACTTTGTGATGTTTGTTTTTATTAATTGAAATTGCAGAGTTAAAATTAACATGCAGGGAACATTCGATAAATGCATAATGAATTATTAAAATTTATTTTGTTTCAGTTTATGAAAATATTTTGATTAATTAATTTAAAGGAAGTCAGAAGTTTTCGACACCATCTTCAGATATTATGCAATTATAACTGGGTTCCAATACCATTAGCATACCCACAGGTAAAAGTATCGAGTTTTTTATAGAATTTCATCTTCATTTTAATGGATGTTGTACATGTTAGGATTCTTGGATTAATAACTTATTTCGAAATTTCATTCGACCTTACTAACTAATATCTCTTTTCAAGCCAATATTAGCTAAACTTAACTTTTATCAACTTAAACCTAATTAAGTGAACTAACTGTTTGTTTATGAATTAATTTTTTAATGACAATTTGAACTTATGTTTCAGATTTTAATTCTAGAGAATTATATAATATATTACAGCTGGTATTTTTAGCTGTTTATGTTTATTTTGCAATATGTTTAATTTCACGACAGTTTATAATTACGGAGCGTGACGTACCAAATAAAAGCAACGTGTGTTTTAAATTGTATTCGCTTAGTATTACTTGCAATTACTTAGGAAAATTTTTATTTTTAGAATTTTTAATCAGGCATATAAGTCTAGATCGATTTATTACTGCCATGTGTTACAATGATGGAATTTATAATATTTGTCGGATGGATGAAAGTAGCCGAAGGCCTTTTAAATCCATTCGGTGAAGATGATGATGATTTCGAGAGCAATTTTCTAATTGATAAAAACTTGGCAGTTTGTTTTCAATTTTTTTCTCTTCCATCTTTCTTACAAAAAAAGTAACAATTTTTGTTTTAGTTCTTTTTTCGCTCGAAAAATTTCAAATTGTCCATTTAAATATTTCATTTTTCTGTATTTTTTACTTTTTACTTCTTTACTTTCTTAGGTATCATTATGTATCGTCGATGATGCATCCAATGATGCGCCAGAAATGGAAAAAGATCGATTCTGGTCAAATAGCAAAATAAACGAAATTTATTCTAAAAAATCTCTGATAGTATGATCAGATCATTTATTTATTTATTGTGCTACATTATCATTGTAAAAAATGCTGTCATATCGAATTTAATTCGGAGGGTCTCCGGAGTTTTCATTTAACTTAAATCTACATTTATTTAGGAAAAGAAAATAATTTCTTCATTTAGTTTGATGTAAAAGTGCTTTATTTATTATGCTATATATGCACTGCAATTGATTAAATGATTTGTTATGAATATTTTGCATGCAAAGTTCTGTCGTTTATACGAAAAGTGGGGCCAAAGCTTTTATATTAAAGTCTTCCAAGTTATCATCCATTAATCATTATCAATACGTAAACTGTCTCATTGATAATTATTAAAAAAAAAAAAAAAAAAAAAAAAACCGAACAAATCAAATCAATGCAACACACCTTTGAATTCTGCAACAGGTTGATTGTTGCTGACTATTTTGAATTTGGTTTTGAATCATTGGAAAAATAATTTTTTGGTTATCTCATGAACTAACAAATAGTGAGTTCGTAACTGAAGTTAAATGCCCATTCAATTGCATTTATTTCAATGCTATTATTACTGTTAATCCTTTTTCGCTTTGATTTGTTTCATGTGCCTCTATGCTCCATATTTTGTTTACTTCCCTATAATCACTGCTATGATCGGGAAATCATCTGATGTTTGGGAAATCACTATTTATTATCAAACTCTTGCATTTATCAGTAATTTGGCCTAAAATATGAATCAGGTAAGAAAATTTCGGTAGTGCGATGAGGAATTAAAAAACGTATTCACCTAAATTAACATTCTCGTCGTTTTTGTTTTTTACCTCTTAGAAAAAAGAATTTAAAAATTTTTTACTGCAAAACTTAGGCCGAGATTAAAAATTAGTCTAAACAATATATATTGACTTTTCTTGATCGTAACCGAAATAATGCAAATAAGTGATAAGCAGCTCAATGTTCACATGAATGTTTAATTCGACCTTTTTTCATGAAAGGATGTGCATGCAATTTCCTTTTCATACTTAGTAACGTGATATATGTTCAGCTGTCCAATCTCCTAATTATTTGCTAACTGTTAGTCCGATTTGTTTGTCTTATCTAAGCAATTTAAACCAGTTTCTCCAATTTACTCGGGTTCATTTGTTAGCCGATTTAACTTCAGTTCCATTATTTATTACAAGATGTGTTCGATTTTAGTCATAGCATTCCAGGTGTTGAGATATTGTAGGTCTTTGCTAGAGAACTTTCCTTGATTGTGGTTTGGAGTTGGCATAGACGAATATGTCGAGAAGGAGTCTGCGCCGATTTTTATTCACTAAAACCATGATACACAAATATTAATCCATACCGACAATTACCAGTAATTTCTGGACAATGTACTGATAATTTCGTAAAACTTATCCACAATAAATGAGAAGAAAAATAGATTGATGGAAAAATTAAGTAAAGGATTTAAATGAATCGAATTAAATGAGTGCAAGAGAGTGGACGAATTCTAACTTGTTGGTACTAAGGAACTTACTTAGAAAAAGGCTATAAATACTTATATAGTGGGCATCAACTTATAATAAGTAAATGATTACAGTGAGTAAACAGTTGTTCATCAGATCATTACAAAGTAAAAATTGGATTTGATATTCTGTCAGTTGTTAAGAAGAAAACTTCACAACATTTCTACATTACAAGTAGGTTTGGTTTAGAACAAAGAAGCAATTTTCAACATACACATTTTTTTGTCGACAACTGTAAAATCCTAGACAAGGCAGATAAGCTCAGCAACAAGCGGAAGTTGAGTATTGGATTAATGATTGCTTCATGAGATACAATCTGAAATAGTTTTATATATCCAAAGAATATTCAATTAAGACAATTTTTAATCTTATGGATTAATACGACTTTATTCCGACATATTATTATAGTATTATTATAGTTTTTATTATATCAATAATGTATTATAGTTTCCCGACACTAGGTAGCACTTACAGTGTCTCATTTTTTTTCCGATAGTTACGAGCAGATAGATTCAATTTCGATGACTTCAGCCAACGTATCCAATTCGTCCAGGTCCTTCGATATTTATCATGCGATGAATTCGGGTTTCATTCGCACTTTTCGAGGTAAAATATTTCCAATTTCTCAATTTTCTCGGTATTTAGCAGCTAGTCAATTCAGTTTCTCAAAGGATCATAAAATACAAGTGTTATACAAAGATAAAATATTTCTAATTGAGCAAAAATATTAAAACTAAAACAGCTTAAAAATGAAATTAAAAAAGATGCAAAAATAAAAGTAAATAAACTTCGGAGAAGAGATGAAATATCTCAAATCATTATTTCTTTAATTATTAAGCATCGAAATTAAAGTAGAAATCCAAATAAAGTCAAATATGAAATATATATGATAAAGCTAGTAGAAAGACATAAAGTTAATAGACACACATGTTATTGGTAGAAATGTATGCACTTTACTTAGGAGGAATGCATGAAATCAGCAAAAATACAATGCTAAGAAGTGTGGTGGAATTTAGGGTTCAGTGTGAACATAACTTGTGGCTTAGAGTCGAATTGGACCTTCGTATGCTTAAGAGCCTTCCTTGCTTGCTATTGTAATTGGTATAGACGAATGCGTTGAATGAAAAGACTGTTGTACTGATTTCATTCCCTAACACCCACAATATATAAATATTAATCTATAGTAACGATACTGATAATTTTGTAGAGTATCTACGAATAAGATGAAGAAAATAGATAAATGAATAAATTGATGGGAAAATGAAGAGAGAGAGAGAGAGTAGCTTGTACAATCAGCAAGGTCTTTTGAACAATGACTCATTGCTGTGTTACTTTAAGTATTTAACGGAAGGTTCAAAGGCAGCAACATTTCTTCCTCTTTTTACTGCTATTTAATCACTGCAGAGATTTTTTCATTTAAAAAGCAATGTTTCTTTTCAAACTGCGATTTCATGCAAGTCTAATTGACTTTAAGTGAAAAGAAATGACACAAAGTGTTATTCAATAAATTCGAATGCATTACTAAAACAAAAAAACGGACAAAGATGATAAGAGATTGTTAATAAAACTTAATGTTTAACACGGCTCTCATATTACTATTTAATAGCTGCTATTTATATCAATTTTTTAACAGAAAAGTTAGCATTCTCAATCTTTTCAGTTAATTTAATAGATTTTGTAAATTAATCCTATAATTTCATCTCATCACAGTAACAAGTAAGATATTACTGCTCACTGAGTGTTGTTCATTCTCAATGCGCAATCCTGAGCAGAGCACCAAAAATTGATTTGTTAAATCCTTTATTAAATAAAGTTTTGACTAAACATTTCTGGAAGATACCTGCTTGCACTGTGAATGACACAACAATTAATTAGTACTTTCGCTTTTTCTACTTTATTAGATGGAAAATTCACTGCAAACAGATTGATGGATAGATCATTTACTATATTATGTGTACGGCAGAAAAAAGTCGGTTAGAACAGAGTTAAATAATAAATTTGCTGAAATGATGGCGATCAACATAGAACGCTCACACGTACGTATAACGTGGATGAAGCATTTTCATACTAACACCCAACATGTTAGCACAAGACAATACATAGTAACCTAACGAAACTACGGGAAATTTAGCAAACACTGTTCAAACCGTAGGTTTTGAACTGGTTTGCTAAATTTCTATCTGGTATCGCTAGGTAACAATGTTTGTTGTCTGTATTACTGAAATTTGTCTTTTATGAAATTAGTATGTCCATGTATGCAAATACAGTTGATGCGTACAAAACGCCCAATAAATATTTTTCAGATATCTAGGAATGAAAGTTTATATGTAAAAGTGTGTAACATAGTCATGACTACAACATTAAATACTTATTTTTAGGACAGGAAATGAATCCATGTAATACCTTTCGTATTGTAGTTAGTAGAGACGAATGCGTTGAATGATGTCTGTTGTAATGACTTTATTCGTTAGCAACCACAATATATAAATATTAATCTGTAATATATAGTAATAATAGTAACAATACTGATAAGTGTCTACGAATAAGATGAAGAAAATGTATAAATGTATAAATTGATGGGAAAATGAAGTGAATTGTGAGTGAGGGAGAGTAACTGAACTGTAGTTTACTGGTAAAGAAAAACTGAGAAAATTGATGAAGTCAAGGGATTTAAATCTTTATTTTATTTGTTGCATTGACTTGCAACAAGAGCATGATTATTGAGTAAGGGCTATCAGATGACCTTTGCTCTTTATATAGTAAGAAATGGATTTTAATATTGTAGCTTCTCAAGCTAATAGTCAAAGAATGACTGTTAGCTTAGAAAACCTTTACAATATTTCGACATTGTAATCAAATTTGATTTGGAACAAAGAAGTAATTTTTAACATATTAAACAATGCATACACCTTTATTATCGGATGAAAATGTCTAGAAAAGCAGATAAGCTTAATTACAATGAGAAGATGAGTATTGAAATGATGATTGCTTAAATGATGCAGTTTGAAACAGTTTTACATTTCTAATATTCAATTAAAACGAATTCTAATATTATTGATTAATATTTGATATATTTTGTAAGTTATTTGAGGCTCGTGAGATTATTTCGAGTTTTTTGTCACAAGGCAATAAAATCACAAAGTCAAAAAAAAATATATATATATATATAAGGGAAAGCACACAAAATAAAATATCTTTAACTGAGAAAAAATGCATAAGGTCGAGAAGGGCATCAAAAGTTAAGTTATTCATTTATTACAAACGCATGCTAAATGCAATATAATGAAACAATATGTAAAGCCCAATGTGAAAAAAGAAAAATACAAAGTTAAATAAATCGGAATATGTCGAAGCAATTTGTTTAAGTCTATAGTCTATAGGATAAAGATTGTCTTAATAAATGTCCTAACATCAACGATAGTTTCATTTAAACTTCTATCATGAATAACCATCAAACACTTTTACCTTCCAAATTGCCATTAATCTTGCATGCATTGAAGAAATGCTGTAAAAATG